AGGCAGATTGCTGCATGAGACCAGGTGTTTGAGACCAGCCAGGACAACATGGTGAAACCCCATCTCTACTAAAAATACAAAAATTAGCCAGGCATGTTAACACACACCTGTAATCCCAGCTACTTGGGAGGCTGAGGCAGGAGAATCACTTGAACCCAGGAGGTGGAGATTGCAGTGAGCTGAGATTAAGCCATTGCACTCCAGCCTGGGTGACAGACCAAGACTCTATCTAAAAAAACAACCTGCTAAAAACTAGAGAAAAAAATAATTGAAAACAACCAGAGAGAAACAAACATTATTTCTAGGGGAACAATGAAAAATTCAAAGTATGGTGGGTCTCTCACCAGAAACCAAGAAGACCAGAGAGATTTTTGACATGCTGAGGGGCCACAACAAAAGAATGAAATCATGTCCTCTGCAGCAACATTGTTGCAGCTGGAGACCATTATCCTAAGTGAATTAAGGCAGGAAGAGAAAACCAAATACCACATGTTCTCACTTTTAAGTGGGAGCTAAGCACTGGGTAATCATGGACACAAATATGGCAACAGTAGATACTGGGTACTACTAGAGCAGGGAGGGAGAGAAGAGGGCAAGGAATGAAAAACTAACTGTTGGGTACTGTGCTTATTACCTGAGCAATGGGATCATTCATATCTCAAATCTCAGCATCATCCAATATATCCATGTAACAAACCTACACATATACCCGCTTAACCTAAAATAAAAGTTAAAATTATTTTTTTAAGTGCTGAGAGAAAAGAACTGTCAGGCCCAGAATTCTATATCCTGCAAAAATATCATTCAGAAATGAAATTAAAGACATTCACAGATGAAAGAAACCAAAGATTTGTTGTCAGTAAACCTGCTCTAAAAGAATTGCTAAAGGACATATTTTAAACAGAAGGGAAGTGATACCAGAAGGAAACTTCACACATCAGGAATGAAGGAAGAACAACAGAATGCTAAATGTCTGGGGAAACATTCTTCTCCACTTGAATTCTTTAAAATACATTTGATAGTTAAAAGCAAAAAATCTGAACATTGTCTTCTATCGTTTGCAACATATACTTCAACAGATACAATATATTAGAGAATTATACCATCAAGGCAAAAGAACAAAAGAATCTGTGAAAAGTTAAATGTATATTAGAATAATCCCTAGAAAAACTTTAAAAAATATATACAAAAATGTATAGTCAAAAATATAATAGATACATTAAAATGAAATAATAATAAATGTTCAAATACCTTGAGAAAGCAGGAAAGAGGGAACAGTGGAACTGAAACAGAGAAAGCAAATGAAATACAAATAATGAAATAACAGACCTAAGTCCAAACATACCAATAATTACATTAAGTGTAAATTGTCTAAACATACCAATTAAAAAAGAGATTATCAGAGGGTATAAAAAAATACCGTAATCCAGCTATATGCTGTCTAAAAGAAACTCATTTCAAATATAATTATATAGGCTATGTTAAAAATAAAAAATGAAAAAATATATATCACATAAACCCTAATCAAAAGAAACCAGGAGTGGCTACATTAACATTAGAGAAAACAGAATTCAGAGCAAAGAAAATTACTAAGACTAAAGAGGGACACTGCATAATGATAAAAGGGTTAATTCATTAAGAAGACATAAATACTAAATGTGTGTGCATCTAACAATAGAATTTAAAATACCTGAACCAAAAACTAACAAAACTGAAAGAAGAAATAGATAAACTCCCTGGCCAACATGGCGAAACCTTGTCTCTGCTAAAAGTACAAAGGTTAGCTGGGCATGGTGGCAGGTGCCTGTAATCCCAGCAGAATTGCTTGAACCAGGGAGGTGGAGGTTGCAGTGAGCCAAGGTTGTGCCACTGTACTCCAGACTGAGTGACAGAGTGAGATTCCTTCTCAAAAGAAGAAAAGAAATAGATAAACTCATTACAGTTGGCAACTTCAACACTCCTCTTTCAGTAATAGAACTCATAGACAGAAAAGTAGCAAGGATATAGGAAAAATAAACAACATGTCAACAAAGTGGACCAAAAGAAATTCCCATGAGTAGGGGAATCGTTGAATAAGCTGCAACAAATAGCATTTACAAGCAAGGTTGCTGCATACCACACAACTCTAGGGGTCCTTGCACATACACTTTTGAGTCATGTGGTACATAACCTCCTTAAGTGTATGCAGCATAACCCCTGCCCACACTGTAGAATGTTATGCATCCTTTAGGGAACATGAATAGTTAGTTCACTTGGAGGGGTTTTGCTATTTTTGAAGAAAATAATATAGAGAAAAACATACATTATGTGATCTCATTTTTCTAAGACAGTAACAGATGCATATATGTGCATGTGTGTGTGTGTTGGCATATGAACACTTGAGAATGTTGGCAAAGTGAAAGGATAACATACAACATGGTTGGTAAGAAGGTAGAAGAAGTGAACAATATGGGTTGGGGAGGGGAGAGCAGTGGTTAGGGACCCAAGCAAAATAAGGAAAGAAAAATAAAACCTCCATTTCAAAAATCATAACATTTGCGGACTTATATGAGTACCTCTTAAAAATAGTTTTTAAAGTAATATCGAATGTAAAAATTCAGTTGCTCAAAACTTTTCAAAGATTTCCTATTGCACTGTAAATAAAATGCAAACCCTTTACCAAGACCTAAGTGATTTGGTCCTATCTACGTCTCCAGACTTATGTGTTACTACTCTCCCCTCCCCAGGCAAGTCTCTTTCTGGACTGAAGGACTTCACAGTTGCAGCGTTTTCTACCTCAAATGCTTTTTGCACTGGTCTTTGCATGACTGGCTTCCTCTCATCTGTGGCAGATTCTGTGATTTGCCTACCCAACGGTCTCCCTCTCCTTCTTCTTTACCAATAGGATACTGATTTTAGTTGGGAGTGCATTATGTCCATTTAAAATACTTGATCTCCAGTCTCCCTTATAGCTAGGAGTGATACAGTTCTGGCCAAAGGGATATTAAGTAGAAGTTACTGGCATGGCTTCTTGGGAAGCTTTCTTAAAAGAATCGAACGAATCGTCATCCTCTGTCTTCCCCTTCCTTTTCCGCATTTTTAAGCCATGAAAATGGTTGTAAAGTTAGAGCTGAGGTTCTCAAAGTGTGCTCCCCAGATGAGCCCGTCTCAGCATCACTAGGGAACTTACACAGGCAAATCATCAGGCATCATCTCAGACCCACTGAATCAGAAACGCTGGGGATGGGACCCAGCAATCTGTGTTTCAACAAGCCCTTCAGGTGATCTTTATACCTGCTGAAATTTGAAAGTCACTGGGCTAGCAGATAGAAGTTCCGTTCCCCTCCGCTCCCCTCCCCCTTTCCTCCCTTCCCCTTTTCTTCCCCTTCCCTCCCCTCCCGTTCCCTTCCCTTCCCTTCCTTTCCCTCCCCTCCCCTTCCCTTTCCTTTCCTTTCCTCTCCTCTCTTTCTCTAACTCCTTTTTTTTTTAGATAGAGTTTTGCTCTTGTTGCCCAGGCTGGAGTGCAATGGTGTGATCTCAGCTCACCACAACTTCTGCCTCCTGGGTTCAAGCAGTTCTCCTGCCTCAGCCTCCTGAGTAGCTAGGACTACCGGCATGTGCTACCACCCCTGGCTAATTTTGTATTTTTAGTAGAGAGGGTTTTTCCATGTTGGTCAGGCTGGTCTCAAACTCCTGATCTCAGGTGATCTGCCTGCCTCAGCCTCCCAAAGTGCTGGGATTATAGGCATGAGCCATCGTACCCAGCCAGAAGTCTCTTTAGAGATGGGAAATAAGTTGGATGAAGTTAGTATACCTCTGACATCGAGCCACTGCACCAGACTTGGACTGCCTCCTCTGGACTTGCAGATATGTGGAAAACAATCCCTATTTGGTTAAGCTACTGTGGTTAGGTTTTTGTTACATGCAACTGAACGTAATTCTAATGTTAAATCATTTTTAAAATATCAGCTTAAACATGATCTCCTTAAAGAGGCCTTCCTTGACTGCTCTGCTTACTCCCTTCATCCCCAGAGTCCTTCTCTATCATTTCATCCTATTTGTTTCCTTTACAGCACTCATCATACCCTGAAATCTTTTGACTTACTTGCTGTGGTTTCTTTCTCCTTTAAGAATGTAAGCCTGGCACCAGTAGAGTCTTTGTCTTTTCACTGCTCTGCTCCAGCACATTATTAAATAGATAATACACACTATCTGGCATGTAATGAATGCCCTGTAATTATTTATGGAATGATATAACGAACTTTGCAATTATACATTCCACTTAAAATCATGCATTTTTAAAACGTTTTAATGAACAAAATGATTCACTGCAGATTTTCAGGAAAAAAATTAATTGAAAAAGTAACACACATGTAAAAAGCATACAATATAGAAAGGTCCTCCATGTTTCCCGTGAACACTTGCTACCTTACTCATAAGCAGCCTATCAATTCTAAAAACTGTGAACAACTAATAAAATTGCTGTGTAAATATTCAAAGCTGAACATAAACAAATTGCATGAATTCAGCCTGTCTTTGGCATCCTCATCTTTCCAACAGCATTATTTTGTGCTAAATCAATCGAAGTGGGAGACTTGTTTAATAATAAAACTTTACATTAAATTTAAACAAAAACATTCAAATAAAAGTAAAAATTTTGGTCAGTTTTCTTACACATTCCACAAGACACATACAGTTAGGTTTTAACCTTGGAGAAAAAAAAAAACCATTCCTTCACCTATGTCCCTACTTTGCCTCTTCTAGTAATCTCAAGCTTGGTCCAAGACTAACATCACCATCAGCAAAATGTGCCAGAGGCAGAGTGGGGGCTTCTCACTAAGGAGAAAAGGAGTCCTAAGATTTGCCAAGACCATTTCCTCCCTCATGGAATTGGGAGAAATTAGGTTAGACAGTTTCTTGGGAGTTCCTTCCAAATACTTGGAGCTGTAAGAATTTCATGTCAGTAGCATACCAAGTGCAAGCTTTTGAGAAGCTTCCAGAAGCCAACATCAGCCCAACATGTGGATTTTCTTTTTTTCTTCTTACCAGTGAAATAACGTTTTATCCATGAGAGGCAATGACCTTAGTTTTCCGCTTGAGCAGTTTCCATCTTGAATTGTATCAGAACCAGCATCAAATGTGTTAGCTTTAGTTTAGCAATGACAACATTCTTTAAAGCTGGGTTCTGCTTCATCTCAGTGCATCATAATTATCTGGGGAGTTTGCTGAAAATAATGCAGGTTCTGTAGCTTCACTCCCAGAGGTGCTGATTCAGTCTGTCTTGAGTAGGATCTAGTAATCTACATTTTCAACAAAGCTCTCCAGATGATTCTGACAGAGGTGGTATGAGTTCTACAATTTGAGAAACATTGGTCTTAGGAGAAGAGGCCAAAACTGCTTATTTCCCAGAATGAGACCTACTGCAGACAGTGACCTAAGACAGCCAGACTACTCAAAGGTCCTTCTTTTCTGATGAGAAGGTGAAGTTTCTGGTGAGAAGTTCATCTAGACTCCTCCTCAAAGACTCACTCAGGGGTCCGAGTCTCCATAGTGCCTAATTCTGTAAGTGAATAAAAAATTGGACCCAGCACTTGGCTGGACTTGAGAATAAACAGCAAAATCTCAAGGTACCAGAAAAGTTTTTGTTGGTACTAGAGGCCCACAATACAATCTTTTACTTTGCTCTACTTCCTTTTCACTGATGATGAACTAAGGAAGCCAAATAGACCCACACAGATAATATGTTGTTTGGGTATGGGTGAATGTATACAGCTATAGCAAATTCTGTCTGGGGAAATTCAGCAGAGTGAATTCCAGTTTGATAAACAGCATCAATAACTGACTGTACATCAGTGTATGGCATCCGGATGGGAAATCCTGTGACCTAGATCAAAGACAGAACAGCACATAAACCCACATTACAACTGCATAATCTGGAATTACTGTGTACAAAAGGTCACAAAAGCCTCAAAGAAATAGGACTCATAAAATAGTGTAATAGTTGTCTGTGGATGCTGAATTATGTTCTGGGTACAGCTAAATGCTTCACACACATATTTAATCTTCAAACAGCCCTATTAGGTAGGTATTGTTATAATCCTTACTTTACAGATAGGAGCACAACCAGGTCTGATTCCAAAGTCTGCACATTTAACATTCCACAAACTTTCTAGATAGCAAACTGCTGGTGAGAAAATTACTTGGTTCTATATATGAGGGATTTAAGTAAGAATTTCGGAACAATATATTCAATATCAATTCAGTTTATGTTTACTAAGTGACTACTCTGTGATGGAATTAAAGGATTGTGGAGCATGGTCCCATGGAAAAAATTACCTATTTAATAATACCTCGGTGACAACCATAAACCTCTTTCACACTGTAATTGCTTAACTCAGGAGGATTTTCCTGATCCTTAAATCTGTTCACATGCTCTTCCGATGTGGTTGTTTAGCATGCTGCCCTTCCCTGAACTTACTTAATAAAATATATTGCAGTTACCTGTTTTCTGGTTACTCTCTCAAGCCCATAATCTCTGCAGATGCACAAGATTTTATCTGTCTTGTGTACTATTATAACTCCAGTACCCAGCACAATGCCTGGCACATAGAAGAAAAAAAATAGCATATACTAAATACTTACTAGGTTTTGGGTGCCATGGTAAGTATTAGCTCACATAATCACCAAGACAATGACAAAATAACTTTTATTATTCCTGTTTTCTAATGGAGTAGAGAGTGTAAATAAAAACAAAACCAAAAATGCCTTGCTTCTTTTAACATATGAGGAAATAGCAAGAAGCTGTATTATATGTAGAAGAGCCCTTTTTCTGCTAGCACTTTGATCTTGGAGTTCCCAGCCTCAAGAACCATGAGAAATAAATTCCTATTGTTTATAAGCTTTAAAATAAAGCAAAGCAAAAACAACTTCCTCCCCCCATTCATGAGTGAATAGTGTCTGTAAGTCTCTCCTGCCCACCTAAGTACTCAACTCCCAATAGATTCCTTACTTCTTCATCTCAGAGAGTTCCCTAGACTAGAAGGTAACTAGAAGGTGTCTACCTTCTAGTCTATTGCATGGTAAGGGGGAAGGAGTCTCACTCTTGGGAGACTGAGTTTTTCAAAAACCCACTAGTCCTGTTTATAGGAAAGAAGAGGTGAAAGGATACCCAGAGTTTGGGGTAGAGTAGGAGAAGGAAAGGAGGATCCTAACAATATAGTAGATGCCCACCATGTTTGCTTATGGACTTGCTGAGTTTGAGATGTCTTTTTACCATCCGAGAAGATGTCAATGGCCTGGTAAATATATGAGAGTGGTGGGGTCAGGAGAAAGGTCCAGACTGAATGTATAAATTTGGAAGTACAGTTGGTCCCTCATATGTGAGTTTCACATTTGAGGATTCAACCAACCACAAATTGAAAATATGCAGAAAAAAAATTAAAAATAGGCTGGACACAGTGGCTCATGCCTTTAATCCCAGCACTTCAAGACCAGTCTGGGCAATATCGTGAAACCCCATCTTTACAAAAAGATTTCTCTCAGTCTTTTCACTTCGTTGATTGCTTCCTTTGCCATGCAGAAGGTTTTTAACTTGATGTCATCCCATTTGTCCATTTTTTATTTGGTTGCCTGTGCTTACTCAGGCTGTAAGCCCATTTCTTACTGGGCTCAAGAAATTTTTGCCCAGACCAACATCCTGGAGGCTTTCCCCAATGTTTTCTTGTAGCAATTTCATAGTTTGAGGCCTTATATAAACTCTTTAGTCCTGTGTGATTGGATTTTTATATAAGGTGAGAGATGGGGGCCTCTTTCATTCTGCATATGAATATCCAGTTTTCCCAACATAATTTATTGTCTTTGTTGAAAATGAGTTCACTTAGGTGTGTGGATTTGTTTCTGGGTTGTCTATTCTGTTCCATTGGTCTATGTGTCTATTTTTATGCCAGAACCATCCTGTTTTGGTTACTATAGCCCTATAGTATAATTTGGAGTCAGGTAATGTGATTCAGTTTTGTGTTTTTTTGTTCAGGATAGCTTTGACTATTCTGCATCTTTTGTGGTTCCATAAACATTTTATTCTATTTTATTTTATTTTATTTTTTGAGACAGAGTTTTGCTCTTGTTACCCAGGCTGGAGTGCAATAGCGCGATCTCGGCTTACTGCAACCTCCGCCTCCTTGGTTCAGGCAATTCTCCTGCCTCAGCCTCCTGAGTAGCTGGGATTACAGGCACGCACCACCATGCCCAGCTAATTTTTTGTATTTTTAGTAGAGACGGGTTTCACCATGTTGACCAGGATGGTCTCGATCTCTTGACCTCGTGATCCACCCACCTCAGCCTCCCAAAGTGCTGGGATTACAGCGCCTTTGAGCCACCGCATCTGGCAGCCATAAACATTTTAGGATTGGCTTTTCTATTTCTGTGAAGAATGTCATTAGTATTTTAATAGGGATTGCATTGAATCTGTAGATTGCTTCGAGTAGTTTGGACATTTTAACAATATAGATTCTTCAATAAGTATATTTTAGTGCTATAGTATCTATCTTTCAGGATGAAGATAAAAGGCATTTCAGAAATATTTAAGATTGCTATTATTTAACAATTAACAACATATATAAAGCAAATGCCATTAATGGATTAAATCATATACAAACCCAATAAAATTGTAGTATTCTGTCAAATTCATTATCTCCTTCAGATGAAACAAAGCTTCCTCTGCCAAGTTCCAGCTTAGGAAGGATGTGTCGCAAAATCAAAGTACACTGTCGATTCCAACGTGTTGGGCATTTAGGTCGCCATTCCATCACTTTATTCTTCAGAGTCCTTTCGATCCTAAGAATGCAAAGCTAATTTTATGTCAAGTTATAACTCATTTAGTAAATGTAGTAAGAGTTTTGTGACTTCTATTCAACTATGAGAATGAATATCTGGACTTAGGAGGAAATCAGACCTCTACTGCTAGAGGTGTCTGCCACCATTCACATTAATGAAGCTGGGGAGAGGCAGGCTCTTATTGGGCTTGGGAAGGCAAGAAGTCTCTTGGGGATAGCCAGCAATTAACTCTCTAATTAACCCAGCAGCTGCCTACTGGATATGATTTGACAACACCTACCATCTGATTACTGGGTTGACATTCCTACTCTTCAAGACCCTCCCTTGACTTGGACATTGTTTCCAAGAAACTGCCCTTATGAAAATCCAGAAATCTGGTCTGGGATGATGTTACCAGGGATGGGATTATTAGATGAGTTAATTTAGCAAGCAGAGTTGGGAAGAAGCAAGGCATTGGACTGGTTAAGTTTGGTGATCAGCTTCCCCCTACTTGAATGTAAGGTCCATAAGGAAAGGGATTTTTACCCATATATATCCAGCCCCTAAAACAGTGCCTGGGGATGAATATGCCAGGGAGGAGAGAGGGGCACAATATGGTTGGTGGGGCTCTCCTGAGAAGCCTCTCTGTACAGGATGATTTTGTGGCATTGATTCTCTAACTGCAGTGTATGTTATATAAGAAGGTGCTAGAGGTCTCTTCTTAGCTGAGTTTATGGTGCAACTAAGTAGACTGGAGTTTGTAGAGGGTCTCAACGGTGGCTGTGCATCAGAATCAACTGCAGGGCCTTATCAAAATGTTTCAGCTCCAGATATTGATCCAGGGATGCTGACACCTGTGTTTTTAAATAGTTCTATAACGATTCTGATGAAAACCAGTTGGGAACCATTTCCTTATTGCATTTCTTTCTTTTTTTGTTAAGAACTGAGAAATGAGGAGTAGGAATGACAGGGTGGGGGGTTGGGAGGAGATGTGTGCTAGTGAGAAAGGGAGCAGCAAAGCTGCCTTGGTCATGCTCTTTGTTGCTTGGTTGGTAGTGGCTTCCATGCCAGCCTGCTGTGTGAGTGTAAGCCACTGGAGGCAGGCAGACCCAGAAGCCTCTGGCGCACATAGCCTGAGAGTAAGTCCTGCTGCAAAGCCTGTGACCCTTCGGGCCTGACCCACTGATTTCCTCAGGCACTATGTGTATGTGCTTGGGAGGCTGGGAGTGTCCAGGAGTGGCAGTACTGCTGTTTCTACTGCCTAACTGGGATTTTTTACCAGACCTTGAGTCATGGGCCATTGACCTTCACGTCCTTTCAAGAAGTGTTAGGTACTGCATTGCTATTACTATAGGCTCAACAGGCAGCTATGTTGAGAACTTTCCAGTCATGACCCACAATGTTTCCAGAGTTAATTTAGTCTGTCCCTCTGCCCTGGATGGCAGAGGGGCCACTTTTCAATGCATGTACCAAGAGCCAGGTGATTCAATGGAACTGTTTATTTTGTTCTTTTTTTGTTTTTTAGCAAGGCCTTACTCTGTTGCCCAGGCTAAAATGCAGTGGTGTGTGGTGTGATCATACCTTATTGCAGCCTCAAACTCCTAGGCTCAAGCGATCCTCTCCCTCTCAGTCGCTGAGATTACAGGTATATGGCATCATGCCCAGCTAATTTTTTATTTTATTTTATTTTATTTTTTAAGCAGAGATGAGGTTTCCCTATGTTGCCCAGGCTGGTCTCAAACTCCTGGGCTCAAGTGATCCTCCCACCTTGGGTTCCCAAAGAACTAGGATTATAGGCATGAGCCACTGTGCCAGCTAGAAATATTATAATCTCCCTTTTCACACTTCTGTTGCTGAATCTAGCAGGTATTTTGAAAGGCTGGATCAGAGGACTGAAAGGTTACCCAACAAGAGATTAGGGAAAAACACAGTACCTATTCCTTAGATCTTCTACCATGCTTTTATCAGTTTCAGAATAAATTATTTCTTCAGGCTGAAATAGACAACCAAAAGTTAGGAAACATTTTAGAGACCACGTTTACATCAGTTACTCCTAGATTGCCAGCTATAATGAGGAGGAAGAAAAGCCAGGCTTCTGTGGCAAAAACACTCAACTCCATAGGTAAAATGCAGACCACAGCATTTTCTTTGATTTTCACACTTCACCACAGCAGGGGATGGGGATGCATTTACAAAAGAAGATATTTTTTCATGGGTAAAACAGACCTGGCATCCCAATTCATTTTTCAAACAAGCATTTGACATGATATGGATTCTACCAAATATTCTTTAGCAGCTGCACTGGTATCTTCCACTGTGACCTTGGCGAAGTCTTCACCTCTCTGTTCTGAGTCTTTAAGATGGGGTAATAATAGTGCCTACTACTCTAGGGTCTTGTGAAGATTTTAAAATAAAGAAATACATGTGAAGACTGACACATATGGAATGCTCAACAAACATCAGACGTTATTATTATTCTTTTTGTTTTTTTTTTTGAGATAGCGTCTCACTCTGTTGTGCAGGCTGGAGTACAGTGGCGTGATCTCAGCTCACTGCAACCTCCGCCTCCGTGGTTCTTGTAATACTCCTGCCTCGGCCTCCTGAGTAGCTGGAACTACAGGCGCATGCTGCCACACCTGGCTAATGTTTTGTATTTTAGTAGAGGTGGGGTTTCACTGTGTTGCCCAGGCTGGTCTCAAACTCCTGAGCTCAGGCAATCCGCCTACCGCTGCCTCCCAAAGTGCTGAGATTACAGGCATGAGCCATCACGCCCAGCCAACATTATCATTATTCTAATGTGGTTGATCATCTTCCTTCTTTGATTGTTTCTTTCAGCTGGAAGAAGCCAGTACTTTGTGCACACACGCACGCGTGCACACACACACACACACAATCCATTTCAGTCTCCCCTGTCTCCAAGCCTTTGCCTGGAACAGTGCTATTCCACGTTTCTTCCAGTTCGCTTCCTGGGCAGGATTTGCTGGGAGGAGAGGAGGACTTCTCAAGTTCCTTCCCAACCCATGCTTCAACTCCTTGCAGGGCTCACATGGACAAGAGGTAGGGGCTGGGTTTAGACAGTTTTTACTTTGGTTATTCCTGAGCTGAGGAAGAGGCAGCTGTAGGGACAGGGACAGATGTTCCCCCCTCGTGAGTGGAATGAGGGTTGTGTAAAAAGGAGGCAACATTTGATAGGCCTCTAGATTCCCACGTGTGACCTCCAGACTGGCAACCTCAGATCTGGGAACTTGTTGGAAACACAAATTCTTGGCCCTCACCTGAGATCTACTGAATCAGAAACTGGGGAGGAGGCCTAGGTACCCACATTTCAACAAGCTCCTCCCCCACCCCCTGCTAGCTCTGATGTCTGCCGTGGTGGAGAAGCACTGCATTAGAGATGGTCCCAGGCCCAGGGAGGAGCCCCACACTGCAGCATGGTGGGAGACGGGAGATACTGAGGAAGGGAAGGATGACTTCGTGTCATCTTGCAGGAGCCAGCAGCTATCTCAAATGGGACAGCTAGACAGAATTCCCTGATTACTGTCACCAATGGCTATCTACCCCGCACTGGGCAACTCCTCTGGATTAGTTAGGCCACCTTCAGGCCTGAAAAGGAGGCGTGGTTTATGCTGACTTGAGAAGTTTATGGTGTGTGTGTCCTTTCCTTTTCTGGCAAACAAAGAGCCCTCTTTCTTTCTAGGAACTCATATCCTTTGAAACTCCAAGGGGATTTCCCTGTTAACACCACTTCTGAGTACCCACATTCTCCTCACATACATTCAAATTTGTGTGCACAATTGTGTGTAATAGTGTTCACTCTAGATAGTGGTTTATTCTGGGATGTATGTAGAAAGGCAGCAGGCTGGGCGCGGTGGCTCACACCTATAATCCCAGCACTTTGGGAGGCTGAGGCGGGTGGATCACGAGGTCAAGAGATCGAGACCATCCTGGTCAACATGGTAAAACCCCATCTCTACTAAAAAATACAAAAATTAGCTGGGCATGGTGGCACACGCCTGTAGTCTCAGCTACTTGGGAGGCTGAGGCAGGAGAATTGCTTGAAGCTAGGAGGTGGAGGCTGCGGTGAGCTGAGATCGTGCCACTGCACTCCAGCCTGGGTAACAAGAGTGAAACTCCATCTCAAAAAAAAAAAAAATAAATAAGAAAGGCAGAATATGGAAGGCCATGAACCCACAGGAAAGAAGTTGATAGAGATACAAGTTAAACACAACTATGAGTTTATATTTATAGATTGAACTTGGCAGAAGGCTTTAGTTTCAGCCCTAAGTAAGAGTGGCTTTTACAAACACAATTTTGATTACAGCTGCCCTTGCCTTGGAGATGCTGGCTTCTGACTGCCCTGAGGACAAAGGCCCCAAACTCTCACCAGGACTCTTCACCCCAGCATTGGCCAGCCTGGCCTTTCAGCTCCTGGACAGATATCTCCTTGCTACTACAGATCTTCTGTTCGCTATTCCCGCTATCTGCCAGGACCATTCTCATTCCTGACTTCTATCTAGGCCAGCTTCTGCTCACCCTTCCTCATTCATGCTTCTCATCACTCTTTCCCAGGAAGCCCCTATGACTCCCCCATCTCTCAGGGCCTCCTGCTGCGTGCTCCCCAAAGCACCATTATATGTTTTGTAACAGCATTCATCACTCTGTACTGCACTTGCTTGTTCCCTTCTCTTTCTTCCTCTAGAATACAAGTACCAAGAACAGAGACATGTCTCCTTCCTTGTAGTATCTACACCTAACATCACAGTGGCTCATAGCAGGAAATCAATAAATATCACCTGAATGGAACAGGAGAATGACTATGCATTAAAGAAATAAGAACCTCATCTCAAAATAGATTATTCTCCCACTAGGAGGCGGCAATGCTTTGGGATGGGCAAAGCAAGAAATGGGCTGTACATGCTTTAAATGTGGATGGCTCAAGAGAGATAAGCACATTTCCCCTTCTTTAAAATGAATTTTCAAACAGGAAATATAAAAATACCTACATATGCTTGCAACTGCATGGAGAATGTTAGAAGGATGCATGAGAAACTTCTGATAGCAGTGACTTCTTTGAGAGTGGGAAGATGTGGAAGGAGAAAGAAACCTATGACTTTTTTTTTTTTTTGGAATCCCAGACTGGAGTGTAGTGACACAATTGCCCAGACTGGGGTACAGTGGCATGATTTCAGCTCACTGTAACCTCTGCCTCCCAGGCTCAAGTGATTCTCCTGCCTCAGCCTCCCGAATAGCTTGGATTGCAGGTGTGTGCCACCAAACAGCTAATTTTTTTTTTTTTTTTGTATTTTCAGTAGAGATGGGATTTTACCATGTTGGCCAGGCTGGTCTTGAACTCCTGACCTCAAATGATCTCTCTGCCTCACCTCCCCAAGTGCTGGTTTTTACAAGTGTGAGCCACCGCACCCAGCCAGAAACCCATCATTTTATACACTTGGGCCTGTTTGATTTCTTCCCCTACAGTCACTATACATTCTTTTTGATAGTGTGAATTGCCTCGAATATACAGGCAAACATAGAAAATAATGTAATGAGCATCCACCTAGCATACCTACCACCTAGCTACATCTGATCTTTGCATTCTTTCATCTTTGTTTTAGACTTAAAAAAATAAGATACTACAAACAGACTTGAATACTTTGTATTCAAGTATATTCTGAATACAGAGCATACTCTGTATACCGCTCCTTGATCTCATTCCTTTTTTTCTCTTCCCAAAAGTGACCTCTAATCTGAATCATTCCCATAATGCTTTTCTACATCACCACATCTATATATACATAAATAATATACAGCTTTCAAACTCCACATAAATGGTTTTGTACTGTATGTTTCACTTCATGTCTTTTTATTTTGCTCAGCATTACATTTTTTTATATTCTTTCACGTAGCTAACGCTGACTCTAGGCCAGTGATTTTCAACCTTGACTGCGCATTGGCATCAACTGTGGAGCCTTCAAAACTACTGGCATGGGGGTTCCACCCTTAGAGATTCTGATGTGATACATGGACAGTCAAATTGGGAACAACTGTAAATTGGCTCGGTTGGTTCATCTTTTACTGCTGTATAGAAGATTTCATTATATAAGTACTTCACAACTCAGGTACTGATTTCTAGTTGATGAACCATTTCAAATTTTTGTTATTTCAAGCAATACTATAATGAAAGTTGTTGTGCTTGTCCCTGTGAATGTTCCTCTGGGGTATATACTAAGAAGTTTGAATTGGCAGATCAAAGGTTGAACATCTTCAACTTTACCAGGTATTATCACCATATTGTTTTCCAAAGCATTTACAGCAACGTACGCTGCCACCACTTCTCTGCCTCTTTGCCAACACTTAGTACGATCACACTTTTTTGCCAATTTTATGCATGTGAAATAGTTTTATTGTTTTATTTATTTATTTGTCTTATAGACAAGGTCTTGCACTAGGCTCCTAGGCTGGAGTGCAGTGGTGTGATCATAGCTCACTGTAACCTCAACCTCCTCTCACCTAAACAGTCCTCTCACCTAAGCCTCCTAAGTAGCTGGGACTACATGTGCGCATCATCACCATGCCTGGCTAATTCTTTTGTTTTTATTTTTAGAGACGGGTTTTGCTATGCTGTCCAGGCTGGTCTCGAACTCCTGGCCTCAAATGTTCCTCATGGCTTGATCCCCCCAAGTGTTTGGATTACAGGCATAAGCCACCATGTCCAGTGATGGTTTCCTTGTTTTAAATTGTATTTCCTTGATTATGAGTGAGGTTTAGCACTTAAGCTACTGCTTCTATGAATTGTCTTTTGCCTAATTTTTCTATTGTTCTTTTTCTCTCTCTTATACTCTCTCTCTCTTTCTCTCTCCCTCCCTCTGGGCTCCTGTCTCCTCATTTGTGGGCTTTGCAATTGCCTACACCCTGCCACAGCTTGGCCCTCAATCCAGAAACAGGTGTTGACATGGTATTTCTAGTGCCTTCTCAAAGTAGTACTGAGTGTGTCACAGATCCATTGGCCAAGCTATGTAATGACTGGGTTATTTCTTGGTCTCCTGCCTCCTGAGCCCCAAGCAGTGAGTCTACAGCTTTCCGTCCCATCTTCTTTTAAAAACAAGGGAGTAAAAGTAGCCCCACCACAGTCCCTGTCTTTAAAAAGTAATGCTTGCTCTGATTCTCTAGCTTTCGTGAAGCATTTTCAGACCTTGCTGCCATCCCTGCTCCAGCTTACCACTGCTGGTGTTTCTGTCCTTCTATTCCATGAGATAACTATCATGGTTGGGAACCCCAGAAAGCTTTTTGTTTACCAAGTTTTATACTTGATCATCACCATGGATATGGTGCAGGAGGGCTAGGTCAGATTAAGAACTTACTATACATCTTGAACATTATATGCTACATTTTATGATGAAAAATTTTTAAATTCTATTTTGGCATCTAAATTTACATTTGAGTTGTCACTTTCTTCTCAATTTATTTTTCTGCAAATAGGGGAAAGGGGCCATGAGCTGGTTGACAGAGAAAACTAGTTTTTGATTAATATTGCCAAATATTTCAGTAAGCAATCAACTATAAAACATAACAAGAGCTGTCACAACTAGTAAAGATTAGAATGAGTGGTAATTCTCATACAGACACACGTGGAAAAATATCATTTACCTGTATGCTTTGTACTTTTGTCCCTTGAACATTTTTTGGAAGCAATGGCTTCCAGAAACTTTCCTTTGAGTAGTCAAACAATACAGCCATTGGTATATTACTTTGTTGAATATTAAACCAGACCTATGAAAACATCGACATAAAATTAGCGTAGGTCCATGGGAATACAAGTCCCATCGTTGGTAAGGAAGGAGCAAAATTTTACAGTCTTACTACTCAATGAAGTGGCTGAATCCCAGGGGAGGTCTGAGGCAGAAGATAAAGAGATTCTGGGGTTTCACGATCATTAGACTACCTCATTGGTTCTCATCCTTGAAGGCACTACACAATCACCTGGAGGAGCTTTAGGGATAAAAGACTGCCCCAGCCCCATGCCCTAGAGAATCTGATAGAATTCCCCAGGTGATTCTAGGGTGTAGGCAGAGTGACTTTTGAGGAGATAACTCAAGACCTTTTTTCCCCATGTACTTACATTTCTATCATCAAACAAACAATCTACACTTTTTAAGGGACAAAATGGGTCAAACTGCTTATAACATTGGCCAGTTGATGGATTCCAAAGCAAATATTCATTAGTTTCTTGAGTTAATACATAAGCCACATGTCCCTGTATGAGAAAAAAAAAGTAATTTTTGGTGGATTTAAGTTATTTCTGTATATGCAAATTATACTCTGTTGATTCTGATTTCTAAAGCCTTTTTTAGCTGAGTGTGGTGGTTTATGCCTGTAATCCCAGATCTTTGGGAGGCTGAGGTAGGAGGATCGCTTGAGCACAGGAGTTTGAGATTGGCCTGGGCAACATAAGGAGACCCTGTATCTACCACAAAAAAAAAAAAATTAAAAATTTGCTGGGCTCGGTGGTACACACCTGTAGTCCTAGCTACTTGGGAGGCTGAGGTGGAAGGATCACTCGAGCCTGAGAATTGAGGCTGCAGTGAGCTGTGATAATGCCACTGGCCTATAGCCTGAGTGACAGAGTTAGATCCTGTCTTAACAACAAACAAACAACAAAAATAGATAAAAGCTTTTTTGAGGGCTTTTACATTTTCTTTGGAAAAAAACAAACAAACCCCCTCCCCCCCGCAAAGCTCCAGAAATCCTCAGCCCCAGGTTAGCATGAGGATTCAGATGAAAGAACTTGTGAGCCAGTGCTGCCATGTATGGTTCTGTGTGCCCTGATGGCAACACAGCTGTTGTTTTAACAAGTCAGTGTATTACAAGGATTTCCCAATAGATAGTACTACAGTGTTTTAAGGTAGACGCACTTTTGTCTAATCCACACAAGGTGCTATGTGAACTATCCCTGCTTTGGTCAGAATATACTTAGAGACTGAGGGTGAACACCAGGCAGAGATAGGAAATGGAAACTGGCTTAAGGCTCTGACAAAACCAAGTAAAGTTAAAAAGCCATTAAATTAAATTTGGGAACAAGATTTAGAATTAGAAGCTAAAGGGAAAGTATTCAGGAAATCAGTTAAAGGAATAAAAAGTAGTTATTATGTTGTTATTATTTTACTCTGAATGATAGCCCTTTTGTAGTGTAAGCCTATCCTAGCAAATAATAAAACAATTTAGGTAATAATAATGAGACTGCTGGGCATGGTGGCTCATGCCTATAATCCCAGCACTTTGGAAGGCTAAGTCAGGTGAATCACAAGATCAGCAGTTCAAGACCAGCCTGGCCAAGATGGTGAAACCCCGTCTCTATTAAAAATACAAAAATTAGCCAGGCATGGTGGTGGGTGCCTAAAATCCCTGCTACTCAGGAGGCTGAGGCAGAGAATTGCTTGAACCCAGGAGGCAGAGGTTCCAGTTAGCTGAGATCGCACCACAGCATTCCAGCCTGGGCAACAAGCAAGACTCTGTGTCTCAAAAATCATAATCATAATAATACTATTTAACACTTATTGAGTATATATGGGCACCAGATACTATGCTAAGAATTAACACTAACTTTCTCACTTTCATTCACATGAAATTCTGAGAGGAAGGGGTGATTATTATGCCCATCTTTCAGATAAAGAATCAGAGGTTAAGGAGCTTGTCAAAAGAGCCCATGAATGGCATTATTCCTGCTTCATGAAGAGGTAACTGAGGCTCAGAGAAGTAAACAAGGCTGAGATCATATAGTTAGTGGCATTGCTGGGTTTTTTTTTGTCTGTGTACGTGGCAGGGTCTCATTCTGCTGCCCAGGTTGGAGTGCAATGATGCTATTATAGCTCACTGCAGCCTCAACCTCCTGGGCTCAAAAGATCCTCCCTCCTCAGTCTTCTAAGTATGTGGGACCACAGGTATGTGCCACTATGCCTGGCTTATTTATTTATTTATTTATTTATTTATTGTAGAGGTGGGGGTCTTCCTATGTAGTCCAAGCTAGTCTTGAACTCCTGAGCTCAAGCAATCCTCCTTCCTCAGCCTCCCAAAGTGCTGGGATTATAGGCATGAGCCACCATGCTCAGCAATTGCTGGGTTTTAAACCTGTGTCTGACTGTCCCCCAAACCCATGTTCTTAACACTACACTGTTCAGTCTGCTCTCCTTTACTCCACAGCCCTTGCTCTTGGTCTCTGTGCTCATTGTCTTTAGAGTAAAGAGGAGGCTTTGCCTTAACCACATGGCTGAGGCGAAACTGCGCAGGGCCACCTCTGGCAGTGCTGGGCCACAGGTACTAACCCAAATAGTTGCCAAAATATTATTGACTATTTACTGCCATCTAGTGGCACTAAAAATATGGCAGGAGATCATATAGAGGGAATGAACCATAGGCTTTTATTAATAGTTAAGAAACTTGGCAATGAAACAGTAAGTGATGCCAAGAAAATACAGGGAAATAAATCATCATAACAGGAACCATAAGGCAAGACTGCAAATACTGACACTTAGCAAGATACTCATGGTAGGGCTAGAAACAATTAAAAAAGAATAGCCTTCTGATGGTACAAATGTAGAAGCATGTAACTTAAGCTGTAAACATTTCAGATAGGGAAACATGAATTCCTGGCTCACTTCTTATAAGATTCAAACCTCAGCAGTGGAGTATGAGGAAAATCATTTTTTACAGACCCTAAAATACACTTATTAGAAACATGATAGGCCAGGCACGGTGGCTCACACCTGTAATCCCAGCACTTTGGGAGACCAAGGAGGGAGGATCACCCGAGGTCAGGAGTTCAAGACCACCTAGCCAACATGATGAAACCCTGACTCTACTAAAAATACAAAAAAATTAGCTGGGCTTGGTGGCAGGCACCTGTAATCCCAGTTACTCAGGAGGCTGAGGCAGAAGAATCACTTGAACCCAGGAGGTGGAGGTTGCAGTGAGCTCAGATTATGCAACTGCACTCCAGCCTGGGCAACAAGAGTGAAACTCCATCTCAAAAAAAAAAAATGAAAGAAACATATAATGATTATGATGTTAAAGATAGATAACAGCTGCCACAACTGTATTATAACTATTACTACATCACCACCACTACCACCACCTTTATTCAGTCCAGGTGCTGCTCTCAGTGCCTTAATATGTACTAAGTTATTTAATATTCCAAGTAACCCTATGACATAGCACCATTTTTAGTACTCTTTTACAAAGGAGAAAAGCAAAAGGAAATCACTATTTATATTGCAGAAATTTTGATGAACCAACATTATCCGCTTAACTAATCATTGCTTGCCCACGAAATTCCAAATTAGTTTGTGAAGACATGGACACCTGGGTTTGAAGTCCTCTAAACTTGCCACTGAAATCTGATTTCCTTTTGCTTACATTATTTCAGTATGAACTCCAGCACTTACTTCTAACCCTGAGGTTCCCAAGAGGACCAGTGCCTTCTTTCCAAAATACAGAAAGAAATTACAGAGAAGGACGGCATGCTCCTCCTTATTTCCAATAGCCAAACTGATGCAGTGCTAAGGCAAAGCAAAAGCAATAGGAATGAAAAAAGAAAGAAAAAGGACAGGAAAGTTGAATAATGCAAGCATCCAACTGATACGGAGCACCTCTACTCACTCTAGTTCCAAACACACTTAAAGTTGCTAAGACGACAGCAGAGCAGACAGCTCTGGCTTTGCTAGGGCATTAGAAGAAGAGAACATTGACTTGGAGCGTTGGGGCCAATGGGACACTTTATTATGGGACACTTAATATAGGTATTGTATAGAGTGACCAATTATATCCAAAATGGGATGTTTTTGTTTAGGAGAAATATTAAAGTGCCCTGGGCAAGAAGGGACATATGGACTGGTATTTTGAGGAACCTTATCTGAAAGAGAATCATATAGTGTTTGTAGGAAGTGATTCTTTGGGCTGTGGAGCCACATCCTGTCCTGTACCAATATTGTACTCTCAACTTAGAGAAAGGAAGAGATCTGAGTTGGATCTTAATCAGGAAGAGTAACTGAAACTTCTTCAACTGAAAGAGCCGAACAGCTGAGCAGGGTGTAACAGATCAAATAGAGATTATCCAGTAAAGCACAGTAATATGGCAGGAGAGAAAAAGTATAGCAGAAGTAGACTGGTGGTCTGTGACCTAGTTCTAGTCTACAGGTGTGTTTTTATTTTTATTTTTTGGCTCCCAGAATATAAAAAAAAAAGAGAGAGGAAATTTTCATATAAAACTCTGGCTTCTCTTGAAAAATTAAAAAACCTCTAGCAAAGACTTGGGTCCAAATGTTCAGATGGCAACCATTTCTTGCTGACTAGTGGCTATACCATTTAAATGGGACATGTGCTCCCTAGTTCAATACAGTCCCAGAGAAGGGGTTGTGGGGGCCAGGGAGGTGGGGGTAAGGGATAGGGAGCTAGAGAGCTCATGGCAGTGACTATTTGCCAATCAGTATGGAAGCATTGCAATGTTTTTAACAACTGATATGGCCCTATCAGTGTGCACTGGCTGAGCGTTATGGTGAAGGATGGGGGTTAGGGAGGATAGTTAAGGAGGCCCTTCTGAAAGAACAGTGTGACTAGGTGAGCTAACAGCAGAATATGAGAAGAGGAGGGAGAGGATGATAGTTGGAAACTAAGTTTTCCTGAGGTCCAGATGCTTTGCATGTTACTACATTTAGTCTTTTTTAAACTCCTATATGACATAATGAGGAAATTGAGGTCCAAAAAGGTTAATTAACTTATCCTTAGGTCACACATCCATTAAGTCTTTGATCTAGGATTTGAACCAAGGTTTTTTGTTTGTTCGTTTTACTCCAAAGACTGTGTGTTAGGTGAGAGAAAATAACTCTTTTCTTGTGAAATTGAATCAGTTGTACACTCATGGCCATTCTGTGGCTGAACAGTTTGCGTCAATGAGAAGACAGAGGAATCCCAAGCCTGCAGTAACTGCTTAGCTATGTGCATTGTTTGGATTGTGGGGGACGCAGGGGAACTAGTATTTTCTTGGATGGTTATTTTTAGCTCACCCTCTTTCAACATTCTGCAGGATCATAATACCACTGAATACAATTGGGATGTACATATATGGGTATGGGTGTGCAGTCCACATATTAGTAATGAAATATAATTTAAGCTGAAATGGAAGAAATGCTCTACTTAGGGTTGCCAAGCTTAGAAAAGAATTTATAGGATGCCCAGTTAGATTTGAATTTCAGATAAACAATAAATCATTTCTTATTATAAGTTTGTCCTGAATATTGCATGGGGCCTGTATTTTATTTGGCAATCAGAATTTAATCCAAGTGCCAAGGAAGAACACTGCTGTATGAGCTCTTCACTCAGATGGGGGCGATGGGGGAAAGCTTTGGGGAGGTGACAGCACTTGCACAAGACTTCAAGGTCTGACCAACTCCATAGTGACAGTCATCTTGCTCTCTGGAGGATGGCATAATATTATACTCCTGGAATTCCCATTGACTCAAAATATTTATGAGCTACCACTTAGAATCTTGAAAAGATTTTTGGTCTTTATGAATTATTTCCATAGACTGTTATAAAGCTGAAGATGATGTATAAAATTATCAAATACTTTTAAATTTCACAAGGCAAAGTAATACAGAAATACATAATATTTTTAAAAGGCTTCCTTAAAAGAAATACTGTACATTTTAATTATAAAATGTAAATTGTTACCTCGGATGTCATCCATATATCAGAACCATCATTTTCCTCTGGTGTATCAGGCATAAAAGGAATCAAAGATACAAATCGAGCAATGAGGTCCTAGAATAATATTAACATCTATTGAGTATGTACTGTATGTCCATCCCTGAGCACAATGCTTTACATGCATTATCTCATTTAGCATATACTCTAAGCCTTTGAAAGCAGACACTATTATTATTCAAGTATTACATAAGAGGAAAGAAGCTTGGAGCGATAAAATAACTTGCCCTGGGTTCCATGGCTAATACAATATGTGAAGTCTCTGGGAAACTGAGCCCAAGTTGGCCTGACTGCACAGGGTGGATGTAACCATTATATTTTATTGTAATAAATTACTAATATTTTAAATATTGTAATAATATGTATCCACATTAAACATGTACTTTAAAGTACAATTGTTAAAAATTTTTAAGATCTTGAAGCACAGCAAAGGTTTTATTGATTTTTGGTTCAAAATCTATCAGAATTATTTTTGTGAATATAATTTTATAATAAGCTGCTACAGCCAGGAGCTCCTAGAGTAGTACAGTGTGCTTTCTCAAACAATAGAAATTATACTATGGATTTTTGCCCTATAGTGCTAGAGACAAAAATTCAGACTAATCTAGGAAAAGAGAAAGGGTGCAAAACAACGAGTTAACATACAAAGTTCATTAATATTTTAACTGATGTTCAATTGCTGCCATTTGTGCACTATTATGACCCTCTACACTGGTGACTTCATGCAATGAATAAACAAGTCTCACAATCCTTGACAAGCAAAAGAGCTATGATTTGTATAAATTTTTTAAAAGATAAAGATAGTCTTTGTAATAGATCCGAGAGGACTGTTGCCTCCTTGGATCCTGGATGTCAGAACACACGGGCAAGAAGAAAACCCATGATGGAAAAGCAGTGTAGGCAAAGCCAATCTAAATAAGACTTTGGATTTTAGCTTAAAGGGTTCAGCTAAGGGAGCTTTACAACTCACAAATAGTACAAATATTCTGAGGACAAACAATGCACTAGATTGAAACCAAATACACAAAAGGTAAAAGTGATTCTTCACAGATGCTCTTCAATCATAATGAAGCTGTTAAAAATAGTTATAACTTACAAGTGTTGCATTAGAATCGTGAAGAAATATATCCAGAAGTTGCTGAGGTGGATTTAATGCCTTGATATATCTTGTGACTAAGAACTGTATCCCTTCATCATTAAAAACAGTAGTTACGATTCTTCGGTTGGGAAAGATTGCCTTACAATTCTTTTTAAAAATCTGTGCTCTCTGCAAGACCTCTGTTTGATCTAAAAACTAGAATCAAATTTAAAGTATTTCAACATTGTGCTATATTGTTCCCACAGGAAATATCAAGAACCAATGTTTATGTTTGCCAGCTTTGAAATTATTATTACTGGTTTTTAAAGTACTTCAAACTTTTTTGATGGTATATATAAAATAAATTCAATGGAAAACCTACCTTATCTAGTGTTGGATTATAGGTGACATATGATATTTGAGGTTCAATGGTAGCAAAAATATTTAAGAATGTACATTCTTTTAAATTCTGTTCATTGGAATCTTCTCTAGGAAATACGTAAGTATTATTCCAAGTATACCCAAGCAAAACTGGTGGAATAGTTACTTGAAATGTTCCACTAATCTGAAAGAGCATATCAGTATAATGGCTTATTCATGATGAAAATAAACATCAGTCAAATATTATAGCCCAGTAGAGTCCTCTCCATCACAGAAAGCATGCTTACTTGCAAGCAGGGGCTTCTAGTCATTTGTACTTGCCCAGGAATGGGCAGGTCCTCTGGGGTGATGTGTTCATAGGCACCCTTGACACCGTGGGACCCTGCCTAATATGTACTATGTAGAGAGGGTAGGAGTAAGAAAGGAATGAAACAAAGAAGCAAGTTACTATACCAGTAATAAAGCTCTTAGAAAATCCAATTCAGGCCCAGAGAAGAAGCTAAAAGATCATGTTACATTTTGTATTGGGTCTAGAAAGAGAAAATACATAACAGCAAGAAAGACAACCCTGAGGTCCACATAGGAGGAAGTGTGTGTGTGTGTGTGTGTGTGTGTGTGTGTGTGTGTGTGTGTAGGGAAGAGGTAAATTATAATAATAAAAAACATTAGCTGGGAGTGGTGGTACATACCCGTGGTCCCAGCTACCTAAGTGGTTGAGGTAGGAGGATCATTTGGACTCGGGAGGTTGAGGCTGCAATAAGCCATGATTGTGCCACTGCATTCCAGCCCGGGCAACACAGTGAGACTCTGTCTCCAAAAAACATGATAACTAATAGTTACTGAGTGCTTACCATGTGCAAAACCCTGTGCCAAGTGCTCGATGTAGATTGCATCATTCAATGGAGTAGACACTGCCCTTATCTCCATTTCACAAATAAGGAAACTGAGGGTCAGAGAATTGAAGTATTTATGCAAGACCACAAAACTAGTAAGTAGTGGAACCAGGATTACAACCCAGATGTGTCCACCTTTGAAGCTCACACTCTTAACCACCTCTGTATCCTGTAGTCTGGCCTGAGACAGAGCAGTGTCCACAGGGACTTATAAACAGGAAGCCCTGTAGCTGTACCTCCAACAATGTATATTCCTATTACTGTTCTTTGCAACATGCAATATCATGACTTCATGTGACTGCACGTTGTGCGGGCACCTCTACTCTCCTACCTGATATTCCTTCTTTCCTACTTTCTTACCAATAGCTTTAGTTGGTAACAGGACAGCCAGGTAGTAAGAACAGAAACTTCATTAACACTTTAATTGGTATACAATGGCAGCCATTTATGTACTATTGTGAGACTCTACAGTGGTAACTTCCTGTAATTAATAAACAAGGCTCACAATCCTTGACAAGCAAAGGAGCTAGTATTTGTATATATTTTTAAAAGATTGTCTCTGAAATAAATCTGAGAGCACTGTTTTCTCCTTGGAGATTGGGTGTCAGGACACATAGGCAGGAAGAAACCCAGGATGGAAAAGCAGTGTAGCAAAAGGCAATCTAATTTAACCCCTTATTTGCTTGACAAATTCATCTTTAAGGACTTAATTCAAAAGTTATCACCTAAGTAAAGTCTTCTTTGATCTTTCATTTTCCTCCTTAGTCTCCTCTTATCTACCAAACTCTCTGAACTACTCCCCCTGCATTTCCACTTGCAACCCACGGAGAGTAAAGTACTCCCTACTGTATGTTCCCCTGTACTGATCTCATGCCTCTATTAAAGCACTACAGCATTATCACATTGTACTGAAATGTTAGTCTTATTTCATAGACAGTGAACTCACTGAGGTAAAAAATTCATTTCTGAATTTTCACTTTCCAGTGTCTGGCCTGGCGTCACAGATGTCTAGTGCCTTACCTAAAATCACTTAGTGAAGAAGTAACAGTGGAGTCTGGGCTGGTGCTTTTCTACTTTGCTAGTCATGTAGGCATTCTCCTGCTACATAATAACCCAACAGCAGAGCCCTCTGAGGGTCTCACAGAGACCAGGTACAAATCATAGGTCTTACCATTATCAATAAACAATGCTGAAAAGCTGAAACTCCTGGGACCCATGATTACAAAGCAACACCATTAATCAGAATGTTCTATGAATTTGATCTTATAGAACTCTGACATGCAAATACAAATGTTGCTTTAAGATCTAAGACTGGCTGTCCTATTCTTTGTTAGTGAACATTGTAAAGATATAAGAAATAAATTTGTGGGTATCCTCTATTCTAGAGACGGTTCAAACACTTGAAAAGTCCAGAACATTCTAATACAGGATCATCTTAACTGACCTACCAGCCTGCCAATCACAGAGTCTGATTCAAAGACAACAGAAAGTGTTACTATTAGCCAGAGGTCAAAAGTTAGAATAATTAGCAAATAACCATTTTCTCTTACCTCAGACTGTTGCAGAAGAGCAGAAAAAGGGAAGACAATGGATCCAAGCCAATTCTTTCTTATATATGAGTGAACACTACAGCTCTTGAGACAGTGATCCTGGGAAGATAAATAATTTTTATTACCTAATTAATGTCATGTGATGAATAGTTTTACAAACTCATAAGTAAATATAAAAAGTCATTCTCTTTCTCTTAAAAAAGAAACCAAAAGGTAAATAGAAAAGATATATTTTAAAGAAATTTAAAAGCAAGAAAAACATAACTACTTCAAGCAAAAAATAATAGTCTGGGAGAAAATGATCTGTTGTAGAGTTTATGACTTGTGTAAAGTAGAATGTATGACAATACTAGCACAATGCAAGGAGGGGGAAATGGAGGCATTATATTATAGGATCCTGCTCTTACACTGTCCAGAGGCTGACTAGCAACAACAAAGCTGAGCAGATGGACTGTGCTGCTCTAGTCTAAAAAGTAATAGGTACACTTAGGTAGCTTTGTAGCAATCAAGGCCTTGGAATTCTAACTGATGTGCTCCCAACTGAATTAATCTTTTCATCCTAAGTCCCAGGGATGCTGCAGGCTTTTTAGGTCTACCTTGCCTAAGATATAGTTATAGCTCTATCGAGGTTTACTTTAAAATTGGTTCCCTACATGAATGGAGCTGGAAGCCATGATCCTTAGCAAATTAACACAGGAACAGAAAACCAAATACTACATGCTCCCGCTTATAAGTGGGAGCTAAACTATGAGAACGCATGAACACATAGACAGGGATAACACACACTGGGGCCTATTGGAGGGTGGAGGGTGGAGGGTGGGAGGTGGGAGACGATTAGGAAAAACAGCTGATGGGAACTAGGCTAAATACCTGGGTGAAGAAATAATCTGTACAACAAACCCCCAGGAGACAAGTTTACCTGTATAACAAATCCTGCATGTGTACACCTGAACTTAAAAGTCAGATAAAAAGTTCCTTATGCATCCTCTCTGAGATGCAATGAAAGAATTTTAAGATCAACAATATGAATTATATATGAAACAACGTTTAAGGAATATATTAGTATGGGAGTTGTATATATCAAGTGATAAAACGGGACTTAATATCTGGAGTAATAATGTGTGTTGTAAGTCTGCATATCCTGGTGTGAGTTGAAGCAGGGCCAGGCAGTCTGATGGTAAAATAGTGGAAGAGATGCTGCTATGATGGGACCATCTCTTTAAATAACTCATATAAATAAAACTCAGATATTTGTACATTTCATTTCTCAACCCCTTGTAAATCAAAGTAACCCCTTCATCTTTGTACTAGAAGATCATTTCTTCAGGAGTAACATAGCTTGTCCAATAGGGTCCCTTGTCTTGCCATCAGGACGAATACCTTTGTATGTTAATTAGCAGTCATAGAGCTGGGACAGTGGCTTGACTACTGTGGACTAAAGGCTCAAATGTACAGTACAATTTCTACAAGGTAATAAAACTGAAATTTAAAATCAAAAGTTTACAGAAAAGCCTCTCAAACATTTGAAAATGCAAAGATATGATATTGGAAAACAGGCCAAGCAAGAAAATGTAATATATATATAAAATAACAAAAAATAAGTAACTAAATATAAAATACATAGTCTAAGATGTTTTCAGAGATAAAATTATAGTCTCAGAATGTTTCCATTATTTATGAGAAGGCAAGAGATCAAACAAACTAGGCATTGAATACATTTGGTCAAAGTAAGTACAAAAATTATAGGCCTAGGGAAATAGGGAGGAAGAAAATAATTAAAATACAAGCAGAAATAAATGAATTCGAAAACCAAAAAAGAGTGAAAAGTAAAAACAATTTCAGTAGTTGGTTCTTTAAAGAATAGGCAAACATCTTCCAAATTAAATAATTTTTAAAAAATTGAAAGACATGGTTGGATAAAGTTAGAAACCAGAGGATAGTAGATAATGGCAAGTCAAAAATTATAGACTATGCTGAAAATTTATATGATAATAAATTTTAAAATCTTAAAAATAACTAAAAAAAAAGCATTTAAACCAATATTTGAGTTTCAATTTAGTTTAAGGTCTTTCTGTGGCTACTGGGATTTTTGTTAGAGTCACATTTAACCTAAGTTTTAAATCTGGAGTATGCATGGGGCTTGCTTTGCCAGCTCCAAAGGCAGTTCAGTCCATCTCTTTCTTGCCGAGTGTTAAAAATAGGCTATGAGTCTGTGAGAGTTCCAAGTCTTCAGCTTTCTGCTAATATATAACTAAAGAAAGGGAGATCTGTGGGGAGTAAGAAACAGTTGATAGCAGGAAGAAAATATACAGGAGGGGCACAGAGGAAAGAAAGGAAAAATGAAACACTTCTAGACAAAATAGCATTCAGTGATAACTTTAAACCATCTTTCAACTAGATAGCTATCTCAGGGCTCAGTCTAGCACTAGTCTTTTAAAAGACAATGAAATGTTAAAACCCAGTCCATGAGAGGAGGGCAAGAATGCAAGGACCTTTCCTTTTCTGAAGAGCATGCCAACATTGTCACAAACAAGTCTGATACCTAAAGCATGTGGATCTCATTCCAGTAACAACAATCTCACAATGCAAAGCACTTTCAAGGCTTCAGTTGTTAACTAACTGCTATTCAATTCTGACCAAATTAGTCTTTGAGATAATTCACTTTTGAGAGAGAAAACTTGTTAGACATTCTTTTGAGATTTTTAAGCTTTCCCATTTATCAGTTTTGATTATCAGAACACTACTCAGTTTAATTCCTTGGAAAAAGCGATCACCAAATTATTGTTTAATATTTTACACTTGGCATTTATCATGTTTGATTTAAAGTTTCTTTAATAAGAATGTGTGTCGTATCTCCTGGAAAACCGGGTTTGAAAACATAGCCATTATGATTTGCAGTGGTTTTTACGAAGGCTCATTCCTGAACCATTCTCTTCAAGGTCTTGTTCAACTTCTCTGACATGGATCCCCAGTCCCTCCAGGTAGAATTAATTGCTCCTTCAACAGCGTTGCCATAGAATTTGGAAAACATTTCTATAGACCTGAAAAGAGTAGATATACTACACCTACTATATATACTATATATAGATCTACTATGTATACCATGGATATGCATCTTTATATTTTTAGTGGCAAGTCCAATAGGGAGGAAACTAACATTTATTTTGGAACTTGCTAGGGTACTAGGCATTGTGCTAGGAACTTTCATACATCTATGAGGAAGACAGTAGAACTGAATTTTAGCCTTAGGAATAATTTGATCTCTTTTGTAGGAGTCATGCATTTTCTTTGATCAGATAATGAGAAATATGTAACCTATTTCTGTATTGGCTACACAAAGCTCACATTTAAATGTAATGTTCAGTTGCAGAAACCTATGTCTCCCAAGTTCTTGGTATATTTATTCCTCCTCCTCCTATATGTGGTTTATGATCTCTGTTATTTTTTAACTGACTTGTCGTATATCTGATTTTATTTCAAGTTGCCTCAAATCCTTTCAAGAAAATGTTGGATACACTCATTGCATCTAAAAGCATATTTACAAATATGTTACTAGACTTCATTCAGTTTGACCTTCTTAGAATAATTTCAGCATTGGCTATTATAATTATTCTACCTTACCTCATGTTTTTCAATCATCATTTCATCAAAAATGTTGATATATATATTATCTTTTATTTTAGATAAGCTTGAGAAGCTATAATCATGTCCTGGTGAGCTGCAAATTAAAAAAATATATATTCAAATGCTTAATTTTCTCAAAATCCACTTATTTTCTAAGAGCATTATTCATAAAGAGCTATAAAATTACCTGTGTTGTTTTCTTTTATGAAGTATGAACTAAGAAAAAGCTATATGCTTTGAAGACTGGCTGCTCCCTTTCATTAGAGCCAGCATGTGCTTTGTAATTTACATCTCTCTTACGATGAAAAATAAAAATGTTTACGTGTAAAACAGAAAGGGCTTTCGCTATAGGTATCCACATTGCAAACAGATTATTTGGAGTATTATATAGGTTTTTCAACTGTCTTAAATTCTGCTAGTTTCTGCTAGTTGACACACAGAGATAAAATGCTCTTTTATTCTCAGTTAATAGATATGACTTTAAATACAGAATTTATGGCTGGGCATGGTGTCTCATACCTGTAATACCAGCACTTTGGGAGGGTGAGGTGGGTGGATCACATGAGGTCAGTAATTCAAGACAAGCCTGGCCAACATAGAGAAACCCCATCTCTACTAAAAATACAAACAAACAAACAAAAAATTAGCCAGGTCTGGTGATGGGTGCTTGTAGTCCCAGCTACTCGAGAGGCTGAGGCAGGAGAATCGCTTGAACTCAGGAGGCAGAGGTTGCAGTGAACCGAGATTGTGCCACTGCACCCAGCCTGGGCGACAAGAGCGAAATTCCGTCTAAAAAAAAAAAGATAAAACAGAATTTATTCCCATTCCCATGTCAATTTACTCCAAGCAGAAACTGGAATAATGGAGTGCACTTCATTTTGCAAGCTGTCTGCTGATGGCATTCTTGATTAGGTACATTTTGGAGGTAGTTGAAAGGATAATGTATATCATAAGCAATGAATTTTTACTTTCAGCTCCACCTTGTGCACTGAATCTCCATCAAACATTTAACAGTGATGGAAATCTCAATTCTGTATAATAGGTTACTGTACATAGAGAAACTGAAGCTCAGAGAAGTTAAATAATTTATTCAAGGTAATGCCACCAGCAAATGACAGAGCCTAATATGGACCCAGCTCTTCTTTTAAAATATTTTTGTTTAGTTTACTTATTTATATATGTGTTTTAGAGACCGGGTCTATCTTTCCCAGGCTGATCTTGAATTCCTGGGCTCAAGTGATCCTCCCACCTCAGCTTCTTGAGTAGCTGGGTCTACAGGGTGTATCACCACACTTGGCTGGACCCAGTTCTGACAGACTCCAAAGACCTTTTCACTACACAGCTGCCACTGACATTACTTGTTGAATCTTGTGGCTTAAGCAAGCAACCATATTTCAAAGGATCTTCAACAGCTTCTGTAACTTTCTGAAACCTACAAGCAATGATGATTGAAAATGCTAGTTGAATTTAGAGGACAATTTTAAGTGGAAGTTTCCTTATATTTCCTAATGATAAAACAACTAGCTGATTCCCCTACTTTGTTCCTCAAGGATTTCCTTTCATGTTGCCAGGACCTAAGAAAGAGCAGGGGAGGCAATATTTATTTACAATCTTATGCTAGCAGGAGAAAGGACAACTGACCTCCTTACAACATTTTTTAGCTTGTTAACTTAGTATATTCCTTACATCACTTAAGTTCTTCTGCATTATCTTGCATTTTGTATTTGATTAAAATGTTCTTTAAATGTTATCATAATTCTCCCTCCAAGAAGGGCTCATGGAGCTAATTATTTAATATTACTCATTACTTACACATAATATTTATTATGACTGCTTATCCATTTGCTTATGGTTTTTATTCACTAAAATGTCACAAGAAGAGGGGAGTAGGATCTTGTATCAGAGGCAACAAAAAGTCGTAGCTGGATGGTTTTGGCTTATCTGAAGCCTCTGATCCACCTGGTTGTACTCCAGATTGTTCTTGGCTTATCTCACTGCTATAATTGCAAGGATGTAAACACTCCCAAGTCTTCTCATTAGTTTACTTATAAGTTTATGTATCTTATTGACTGTTTGATATTCTCCTAAATTTATTTAATAAAGTATATTTCTTCTAACACTAATGTCTAAATTAATATTCCAAATATTTCCAAATACACATGACCACATGTTACATTTACATACTGTTCAAACAAATACATTTTATATGTTAATTATTTAACTTGCTATTATATGATATTATATAATAGATTTCCCTTTAAGTCAATAATTTCCTTTACACACAAAGAGTAAATAGTTCAAGAAAGCAAGTGTCAGAGAACAAGGCAAAGTGAAGGTACAAGGTTCAGACAGACAGCCAAATAACAAGAATATCTATTTAGGAACTCTGGCCAATGACTCTGAAAATATAATTGAGCCTATGTTGAATCCGGAAGAACAAATTTGATTTCTGCTAAAAGCAGAAGTTCCATCGCATCTTAGCTAACAAAATCCTAAAGTTTTCTTTGTTATAGTTCTCCTACCCCTAAGTTGAAATAATGGGATAAACAGCATCTCCCTTTCCCTGCAAATCCTGTTTAGGATCTGAAATCTTTCACTTTCAGAAGGGGTGGCTGAGATGTGAATGTTTATTTAGCCTCCAAGATGTCACCACATATATGCAAGTGATTATGTCAGTTCTTCTGAGTTCCTTTAGCCTTTGTTAGTGGGGAATATATGTTAACACAGGCATTGAACAAATCATAGAAATCCTATGAAATCATATAAACTATGAAATAATATGAAATATAAAATATTCACAGAAAATTATGTAAAATAAATTATAGAAAAATAATATAAAATGATGGCTAATCCATAAGATAACCCTGCTCTACATGTATGAATAAGAAGTCAATTTTCCCACCTTTCAAAGTAAAAAGACTCATATTATTGAAAAAAATGTTTAGATGTTTAATAGCTACACATACCTGCTCATGAAAGAAATTTATACCCAGCAGTAAAGCATAGCAATACTAAAGGAAGCAGCCATAGAATTAGATCCATTTTACTGGGTCATGTGTGTGTGTGTGTGTATGTGTATGTTCCTAAACACCATATAAAGGATTATTCTAGTCTATATCTGTTTGTTTCTTCTTGGTAGCAAGCAGGAAGATAGGTGTATATTTCTTCTTGGATTTAAAAATCTGATTTGTTAACTATTTTAATTAAAAATACCTTTATAAACAGGAATATTATTGAAAAAGATATCCTCACTCATTCTTCAGAAAGTGCAATGGTCTAAAATTTTAATGCAAGTTAATGTATGTTTAAAGTAAGGAAAGTAAAGGAAGTCCACTATTTATTAAATTAGACTTTTAAAAGGATATACCATAAAGAAAAGCATTGGTAAAATTTAAAACTTATTTTCATCAAAATACATCATAAAGAAAATGAAAAGTCAAACCATTAGGGAAAGATAGTTTTAACACATATAACTGACAAAGGGCTGGTATCCATAACATATAGAGAACTGCTTTAAAAAAAAAAAAAAAGACAGACAAAATAATAGAAAAAGAGAGAAAACTATCCTTTTGGCTGGAATTCCTGTAATTCGCCAAAATGACGAACACAAAGGAAAAGAGGAAAGACACCCAATGTTTGTTCTCTAGGCCGTTTAGAAAACATGCAGTTGTTCCTTTGGCCACGTATATGTGAATGTATAAGAAAGGTGATATTGTAGACATCAAATGAATGAGTACTGTTCAGAAAGGAATGCCCCACAAGTGTTACCATGGCAAAACCAAGAGTCTAGCATGCTGTTGGCATTGTTGTAAACAAATAAGGGCAAGATTGTTGCCAAGAGAATTAATGTGTGTATTGAGCACATAAAGCACAGTAAGCACTCTAAGAGCTGAAATAGCTTCCTGAAATGCATGAAGGAAAATGATCAGAAAAAGAAAGAAGCCAGAGAGAAAGGTACCTGGGTACAACTGAAGCGCCACCCTGCTCCACCCAGAGAAGCACACTTTGTGAGAACCAATGGGAAGGAGCCTGAGCTGCCTGGAACCTCTTTCCCATGAATTCATGGCATAATCAGTGTTAAAAAAAAAAAAAAAAAAAAAAAAAAGACCTCTGGACTGTAAAAATGTTTCTCTTCATTCAGTGGAAGTGTGGTGCACTCTCCCCCAAGGAAATATTTAAAGAAAATTTTAATTGTGCCCTAATTCATTGTGTAATATCTTCACTATTCAAATTTAATGTATATCTTGCCTAGATGTGAGGTGGCTTATTGTGCAACAAATTACTCAACTGGTTAGAAAACAGACAGATATTATTTATGAAGTATTCGTACTGGTTTGAAGATATTCCCTTTAAATCATCATGGAAGAAATAAAATAATTTACAAAAAGGAAAAAAAAGAAAAACAGATAAAAGTAAATAAAGCCTGTTTCAATGATTATTTCAATAAGTAGCTCAACAAAAAAATTTTGTTTTTGCTCTTTTTTTTAGGAGCTATGGAACAATGAACTCCAACTTACAGAAAGTCTACTTTAATTTCTTCATTCCAGCATGGATGAGATCCACTTGCTGTACTGGTTTGGTATACAGTGTGCTGGAAAGAAACTTCCACAAATGGATATACAGTATCCTGAAACACAGAGTAAACATTGACTAGATTTTGAAATACTTTATATAGTCAATAAAAGTAGAGGTCTAGGAAATTACTTGGCAAGTACATGGCTTCATTTTCCTAGTTTTTCAAACAGCCATTATTTATTTATTTATTGAATCAACATCTATTGGCTCTATTCTATATCAGGTACTTTTCTAGGACCTAAAGATAAACAGAACTTTCTCTTAAGGATTTTATAGTCTTTCAGGGGAAAATATACAGGTAAACAAAGAAGTGCAATGAAATGTGAGAAAAGAGAGAAACATCTTAAAGGTGTGAAAATTATTCAGGAAAAGGCATGATTAACTTTTGGGGGTGACAATAAGGTGGGCATCATGGAGAAAACATTGCTTGAGTGTGTGCTTGGAAACTTCAAGTCATAGTTCATTTGGACAATAACATGGTAATGTGTCGAGGCCATTCCAGGCAAACGAAACAACTAGTAGAGGCCTCGTGGAACAAGGAGTAGCACGACATGGCTACGGGATACAGAGAGATGAGGCTAATTGTAGGCGCAGGCCAGATGCCTGAAGATTTTGTAGCCATTTTAAGGTCTTATACCTTATCATATAGACCCCAAGAGCAGGGAATGAAATGGTTAGAACTACATTTTCTAAAGGCCTCTTTTACTGTGTTATGGAAAATAAACTGGAAGCCAAATAAAATATAGATGGAGAGATTAATTAAGAGCTAACTGTAATTCAGAACAAACATAATAATATTGTACTTTATAGAAGTGTTAAATACTTATCTCACGTAAGATCTCTTCTGAGGCTACTGATTTGATTGTTTCTTTATGTTTGAGGAAAGATATGGATGATTTCAAATGAGTAGACATATCCAAGGCTCTTCAGGGAAAACAATTAGAGACATACACCTTAATTAGTTTTAATATTAGTTTTGGTAGAAGTGGGTGGGTTTTTCCTGTGCTTATGAAGATATATAAGTCAGTTTCTCTGGTTCATACCGAGTTTGCTTTGAATTGTATTATCATGTGTGGTTACAGCTAAACATTTGATAATTACTACTCTGGAAGAGCAACTCCTAAATACTGAACTATGGATTAGATCTAGTCTAAACAAAATATTCACAGGTATTCAGGAAAAGGAAAAGAAAAGGCAAGTTATTCATGATGGATGCCAATTAAAATATAATTATATAAATATTAAAAAAGACAAATTATACTTTAAGGATATATCCTTCCAACTTTTTTGATGTTATAATTTTTTTTAACAGTATGATGCTTTTAGAAAATGGTGATGATTTTATATGTCCTTATTTCACAAAACAGCCTTTGAAATGTAAATTTGTTTTGAGCATATTCAATTCTTTTAGATGAACAAGGCTGTAATTTATTAAGACACTGGCAAAAGCTTCAAGAGGTGTTAACTACAGATTAGCAGAATGTTTGTTTTTCATAGGGAGAATTCATGAGCTGTGGTAAGCATAAATGTAAGCAAGTAGGGCACATGTGTTGGACACAACACCCTCAAAATATAGAGGGGAATGCCTAATATTCTTAAGGCATTTGGATACTGGATATTAGTAATATATAAATCATACTGACGCTAAATATCAGAGACACTAAATAACCAGGATACACTAAATACACATGGGCACTTAATATTCATGATGCCATACTTTGGCCACACACTGGTGATATCCACTCTGGCCCCATGTATCCTCTGCCCCCAAAACACAAATAAAACCCACTGGGGCACCTACAGAAAGGATGGGTGAAGTCCTATATTTGTAGATGTTACCTAAAAACAACAGGTCTAAAACAGAGCAGGGTGTAACTGTAGCAATTCTGATTTTATACACCATTCCACATTTGCTTCACAGCTTTTCTGGGGCATTTCCCAAAACAAAATTAGTGTCCCATTGACTTTCTCCAGCTTTCTGCTTCCAATACTGAGAGAGCCAGTGGCATGGAATAGGGCAGTTGGCAGCAGAAGCTTCAGAATTTTTACAACAGGAAATAGAGATAAAAGCATTTATTTGATATAATATGTGAAGGTGAACATGCAGCCAACACCCTCAAAATATACATGTTAAAGTTACTCTGGGAATGACGAACTTGAGAAAACTCTTAATACATGGCATTGACAGGTTTGATTATGCAAATCAAGATTTCAATTTTCATTCATTTTATGTTTATGGAGCATTAACAAAGTGTAAAGGTTTCCAAATATAACCGCATGAAAAATTAATCACATTTAAGATAGACCTTTTGCAACTCTAAAAATTGGGGCATATTGCCTTACCTATTAATTGCTGTTTTTCTCATAGGAATATTATAGGCCCTCACTATTCGAACAAGAATCTTAATATCTCCATCAGAGATCGTCTGTGCTGTGACTTGTTTCCTTTCTTTCCTCTGAGGTTTTAACTTTCTCCGTGGTTCAACAAACTTAAAAACTGCATCTGTCAATTGGCTAAAGAATAAACAAATGATCATCAGTCTCATTTACATTTTTTTTTAAAAACATGGTTTTAAAAGATATCAGTCTTTTGAGTAACTGAAAGGAGACCATTATTCTGAATCATATTCTCTGCATTGTGGAGGGGAGACGGAGTTGTCTTAAACTCAAGGAAGAAATATTTTTCTTAGCGTAGGAAGGAAAAGATGCCATGTTCCCTCATATTAAGAAAGACCGATTGTTCCTTGCCCTTTGGGTATACGGTTCAAAGAGAGATAGATGTGAACATGGAGCGGTAAAGCCATGAAACATGATGATCTTTTGGAAGATTATTTTTTGTTGAGGAATCATTCTCTTGACAGTGCCTGAATATTAACATTTTCTCCATGGCTCTGAAACTAGAGTTAGTTATATATGCCGCCAACCCGGGCAACACAAATCCATGGAAGTATAGTTTTATGGTCACACCCATTTTTCCCCCGAAAGGACTGAAAAGTAGAACACAATAGAGTTCAGCATCCTAAACCAGTTAAACCTCATTGATCATTCCAAGAGTCTGCATGTGGCCTCCAGGAAGTTTTCCCAGAGACAGCCCTGTTCCTACCCTTAGTTCACAGATAGGACAGTATGATAATCGAGTTACTTCAGCAAACACTCCCCCAACTGCTGCGTGTGGATCTCAGTGCCTTTGTACAGCTGAGGATTCTCCATTTTGCAAAGGGGAGCAGGCTTAGCAAGATGCTAGCAGCAAGAACTTTTCCCACAGCAGTCTCAAGACAGGAAATCTAAGGGCAAAACTAATTTGGGACAAAGATGCTTCTTGTATTTTTCTTTCTTGCCCTAAAGTCTGTCAAAGGAGAGGGCAAAATCTGCCCCCAAATACTATATAATTGAAAATACATCATGTAGATATTCCAAAATGCAACTTTAAGTTGACCAAGTATTTTAAGTCATCATATTTTACTTTATGATCTGAAACTGTATCTTTTGACATATGGCTTAATTAAAATAAAAATAGAAAACTCAGAAGATTTTAAAGGGATAATCTTAAAGGTTATATTTCATACTTTCATATATTTCATCTTTAGCAGTTACCTTGTAGATATAATTTTTTCATAATCAGTCACAATATCTGACAAGTTGTATTTGGTAATTTTAACAGTTCTCTTCATTATCAACCTTCTCACCTAAAAAAAATTAGAATTTAATAAATAAATGTATTGTTTATATTTTAAGGTTAAGCATTTATAATGCTACTGGTGCCACTAGATTTTACTCCTAATTTTTGCCAGCAATGGATGGAGCAGGGGATTAGACAAGTGAAAATACTATTGTTTGTTGCCATTATTAAAGTCATTTCCAAATTTCACATGGTCTCACCAAAGTGAGTTTATTTCTTTCCACTTTTTTTGTGCTTCTACATCCAGTTCATCTCATCTTAAACTCTTTGCTCTCATATCTTTTTTCATCTAACTCACAGTGTACGTTGCCAGAACTAGTTTTCACCAAAGGAGACAACTGCCCTGTGAATCCACTTCTATGATAGCCACTAATGGACATGAGTCTTGATCTGCAAACCCAAGGAAATGTGATCCCATTTCTGCATTTCCTTTGAGTCAATCCTATTCTGACTTTAAGACCTCATTCTGGCAGCCTGGCATGAAAGTCAGTGCTTGAAGGGAGCCATCTCCCTTAGCCCTTCCTACCTGGAGAACTCACTGACCTTAGTTCCTCCAAGGACTCTGAACATCTCCTTTTTAGTCTGAGGAAATCCTTCCCTTTCTTATTTTACCCTGTCTTTGGGTTTTCAGATATGAAACCAGGCAGGGGTGTGTCTGGAGGCGATTTTCTGCTTTCTGTCCTTTCAAAAATCATTCTGGAGACAACATAACCTAGGCCCTAGTTGTCTTCTTGAAGTGGGTAGGAAATGGGAGTGGTGGGAGACAAATGGGAAAAACGTCAACTCCTAAAAACCATCTTGGCACACAGACAACAAATTGTTTACCTTGAAGGTGAACAAGACCCCAGTGGCCCCTTCACTGCCCACTCTCTCTCTTCTCTCCCTTGGCACGACACAGACTGAGCTCCTGGCTGTTTCTCCCACAGGCCAGGTGTGCTTCTACACCAAGTTTTCACGTATGGGTTCCATCAGCCTAGAATATTCTTTTCCAAAACTTCCATGGCTAGGTTCCTCATCTCCTTTAGGTCTTTTGCAGAAGTGCTACCTTCTTACCAGATTCTTTGACCACTTCTACTTAAAATTGTGCCCCTGCTCACCGCAACCCCCACCCCCCACAGAACTCTTGTTCTCTCTTCCTACTTTATTTTTCATAGCACCTTTCGTTCTGTAACATACTAATAACGTGTTTCCCATGATCTGACATAGAATATATACTCAAGGAGCTCAGGGATTACAGTAGGTGCTCAATAAATATTCATTGAATAAATTAATGAAATGGACAGACTGAAGTGATATGCTACCCTCTTAGAGAAAACGCTTCAGTAAAAATTTATCTAGTAATATTTGAGACTACTGGGACCTCACTCTGTACTGCTGTAACCCTGCCCTCAGCCATCACTGACTCCAGTAACACAGCAGGAAATGGAATGCACATAACTCACAGTTCCATGAGTTCCTCCCATGGAAGGATTTGGGCACCTATGGCCCCAAAAGTCCTCCAGAAGAAAACTTTTCCAGTGTCTTTGATTACAGTAATTATCACATAAAACTACCAAACCTGTAGTTTCATTTTAGTTTATTTTTCAAACCTGTAGTTTTAAACTGTTGTCAGATAGCAAAGAAGTCTTCATAAGGAGTTAAAATCTAAACACAAAATATTTATAAAGTTCATGTCCAGGATTCCTGTATGAAGTTCAAGCATCCTCAGATACTTGCTCTCTTATGTCCTTCCTAACCCTCTGCTACCCTCCCTCCTGGGCTTCTCCTTATATAAAAAAGAAGAAACAGGATAAGAAGAGTGTGTGTTCCCCTTTTTTATAAGCAAGAACACATTTTTGTTTCCTGAGACCGCAAACTCGCTATTAAAGCACATCCAAACTTAAAAAACACAGAGAGAGAGCTAGTAAAGAAGGAGTGAGAGAGGCAGGGATGAGTGGGAAAACACATGCCAGTGATAAAGGGGCTCTCTCATTTCTGGAAGAGCTAGAGCAGTCCACATTCCATCTCACAGTTGTGGTGTATGAACTGGAATAGCACTTGTGGTTTTATCTCATTCACCCCTCACATTGGACGTAAAGCAAAGCAAGTGTTAATATTGTCCGGTTTCATAAAATATCAAGTGGGACTCAGTGATTCAGTTACTTGCCAGTGACACACATGGTAGTAAGAACAGATTTTCAGACACCTGCCTGGGGCTTTACTAGCTATATGTGGTTGCCTCTCACCTGTCCCCATGAGGGATCTGGAATGTGTCTCTTATTTATTTCTGTAGCTTTCCTTGCTTCTTTTCAAATTACCCTGCAATGCTGCTCTGGTGCTCTACAGCAAAGAAGATGTAGGGGGTGAGAATCTACTTTTGTAGGAGTTGTTGAAACCACCTCAGCTCTCATCCTTTACTTCATTAATTTCTCAAACATTTATCAGCATTTTCCAAGTGTAAGGTACTACAGTAGGCACTAAGAATCTGTAGATGTAGCCCCTGCACTAAGCTTCTAAGTCTAGTGGAGTGATAAGGGGTTGATAGAAATCGGGTATGAAATGCAGTGAAGGATTCCACTCAAACCTGGTTTGCTAGAGTGTTCTGTAAATGTTTACTATTTGGCTTAGTTTCAAAGCATATCTATTTCTCAAATACTGTCTCTGTGCCTCTGGTAGCTCCTTCATCCCTTCATCTCCTGAATTGCTATGGTTCATGATATGAGGCACCAGTAAATACAGTTCTGGCAAAATGCTGTAGTATCTCTCAAGGTGAACTTTTAGAGTCAAAGAAGAGGTGGGAATTTTTAAAAATTTAAACAGAAAAGGTTGGGATGTGCTTTAATAATGAGTTCACTGTCAATGAAGGAAACTAACTCTGAAAGAACAGAAAACTCCTCAGTGATCAGAAAAGTAACGAGTGAGTGGATTTGTCCATCTGACTCTCTGGAAGGACTGTAATACCATGTATCTAGCAGCCCAGTTTTCATAAAAGCAAATGCAAATATATTGATAATATTGTGTTGCTGTTGCTGTTGTTACCTTTTTCAGAAAATTGGCAGAATTAATCCTTTGTGCTATAATAGAATTTACATCTGAAATGGATACCTCCTTCTCTTTCTGACTTTCATACTCCTAAAAACAGAATTGTTAGTTCCGCTTCTTGAATGTAACAAAGAGTTCATATATGACACATTGCAATAAATATCACTAGTCACTTCAGTTCATGTGTAGGACATTGGAAACATTCTGGCACTTCACTCAGTGCAGCTAGATGCTTCATCGAAATAAAGTAAATTTGCATTTGTTATTTATGCATTTTCTGTATTATATATCCCCAATGTATGTGGAAACAATTTTATATTATAGATATTATTAAAGATGATACAAAAATAATGAAATAAATACTTTAGAATCTTCAGCCATGAAATGACGCATGCTCCATTATCTGAAAGTACATTACTTGTCCTTCTAATTAGCCATTAAAAATCCTGAAATTAATTCTTTTGCAAGTAACAACTTTTATTTAAGAAAATATCATATTACTATTTCATATCACTTTATTTAAAGTATTAATTTTTAGGAGTTAACATAATACTCTGTATATAAATATTTTAATGTTATATGTGTTGGGAATAACTTTTCTAATCTCTAAGTTTTTAATTTTAATGTTACAAAATTTATTAATCTGGCCAGGCACTGCGGCACATGCCTGTAATCCTAACACTTTGGGAGGCAGGGGGGGCGGATCACTTAAAGTCAGGAGTTCAAGACCAGTCTGGTCAACATGCCAAAACCCTGTCTCTATTAAAAATATAAAAATTAGCCAGGTGTGGTGGTGCACACCTGTAGTTCCAGGTACTAGGGAGACTAAGGCATGAGAATCACTTGAACTCAGAAGGTGGAAGTTGCAGTGAGCCTAGATCATGCCATTGCACTTTAGCCTGTGCAACAAAGTGAGACTCCATCTCAAAAAAACAAACAAAAAAACAAATTAATCTTTTTCTTTATAATTTATACTTTTTTGTGTCTTATTTAAGAAATACCTTTGTATCCCAAAATTGAAATGCCCATTTGAAATTTTGCTTTTTACAAGTAATCTTCACGACACAGGGTATTTATTTCTTTTATGATGTCTGAATCTAATTTTATTTCTTTCCACATGTATGAATAATGATTCCAAAACCACTTAATGCATCCTTCGTTCTTTTCCAACTGATTTGTAATGGCAATGCTATCAAATATAAAGTTTCCACATATACATAATAAGTCTATTCTATTTCATTGGTTGGGAATTACATTTCTATATTTACCACTTAATATAGGTAGAATTGGCAGTTTACAATATTGACTCTTCCTATCAATGAACATTTACTCAGATTCTTTTGTCTATCATTCAAAAATATTTCAAAATATTATTTGTTGAGTTTTGCACAACTTTTGTTAAACATATTGCTATGTATCTTACAGTCTTTATTGCTCTTACAAGTGATATATTTGTTAAATTACATTTTTAGTGGGGTTTTACTGGTATGTTAGATGCTATTTATTTTTGTTTAAAATTTTTTTCAAACTTTCAAACATAGAAAAGTAGAAATACATATGCACACACACACCCACACACACATGTGTGTGTGTGTGTAATTTTTTTTTTTAAGACAGGATCTCACTCTGTCATATAGGCTGGAGTGCAGTGGCGCAATCTCAGCTTACTGCAGCCTTGACCTCAAGTGATCTTCCCACCTCAGCTCCAAGTAGCTGGCACTACAGGTGTGCTCCACCATGCCCAGCTAATTTTGTTTATTTTTTGTAGTGATGAGGTCTCACTATTTTGCCCAGGCTGGTCTCAAACTCCTGGACTCAAACTATTGTTCTGGCTTGGCCTCCCAGAGAAATATTAAAATCCGTATCTCTACCCTGTAGATTAAATAATTAATATTTTATCATATTTGTTTTATCTGTTTTTATTTATTTTATTTTTAGCTAACATATTACCAAGTAAATTACAGCCATCATGACACTTTAAGCATCTCTAGAGAAATACATCAGCATGAATCTTCAAGGACTAAGGACATGCTTCTATGCAACCACAATGCTGTAAGCACTGCCAGTAATTCTCCAATATTATCTAATATTTGATCCATATTCAAATTTTACCAAGTAGCAAACTTAAAGAAACTAATATGAAAAGCTTATTTGAGAGTATGGTAGAGCTGGCTGGCACCAGCTGATGACAACCTATTGTGCATTCCAGCTTTTGTTTTCTTTTAAAAATATTTCAAAGATTCTAACATTCAGATGTGCCTTATAATTGATGTTTAAGTTTATTGTTAATTAATGTTTAAGTTTATTGTTAATTGTTAATATGTTAATGCTTAAGTTTATCTCTCCCCCTTACTCCCAAAGCTGTGATAACAAAAATATAATAGTAACACACATTTAGAATATGCCTAAAGGATTTGGGCTGTTGAATACTGAATAGACTGTTTGGACAACACTAAATTGCAAAGTCAAGCTGAAGAATTTCTGGAATTTGGGAGATATGTACATTTTTAATCCCTAAAGAGAAGGGAGGAAGTCTGTCTACAGATTATTAGCTTTAGAAAAAAGAAATAAGGTTAAAGCAGCAAAATGTTAACTTTATCATACAAGAAGCCATATTCAAATAGAAACCAAATACCTGGAAGACTAAATCTGGAATCTCTGTATCATGGAGGGGCATTTGCTGTAGAAGGAAATTATCTAATTGACCTGCATTTCTAAGTTGCAATAGCTGGAAACGTTTACTCTTTTCCATTTCCTCTTCTGAAACAAAGTTAAATTCATTTTGCAACTGTTCAAGACGGAAATACTTTGGAATATCCTGCCCCTTGAGGCTCATGTACTGTAAAACATAAAAATGTAAAAGTCTTTACTTAAAATATTATTTTTTTAAATTCAGGAATTACTTCAAAAGACTTTTTCCCTTCAACTGTGAGATCTAAGAGTAGCAATATAAATAGGAAATGGAGCAATTGAATTTGTAGGCTAGAACATACAAAAAACAAAACAAAACAAAAAAATCCAGAATCTAGCCTTTGTGACTTCCCAACCTTTTCCCAGTCATGACTTACAAAGAAAATGAAAATATTTGTATTGTACACTGAAATTTGTATTGTACACTGATAGGACAGATGTGACTGTTTCTATATGGTAATCCTGAGTTGAGCAAGGATCAATATTTCTGTATACTTATAACCAATTCTGCACCTCAGCTGAGCAGCTCTAATCTAGGGAGCTTACTTCCAGTAATCTAATTTATGGGTTGCTTTATTCAACAAATGCAAAGGCAAGTGCATTGTCCATGCAAGGAACAATGCTAGCTGCCATCAGAGAGACACAGATTTATTAGCTGTAGTTCCACAAGGAAAAATAAAATATATGAATGAATAACTACAGTAGGCCAGGCAAGGTGGCTCACGCCTATAATCCCAGCAGTTCTGGAAGCTGAGACAGGCAGATCACCTGAGGTCAGGAGTTTAAGACCAGCCTGGCCAACATGGTGAAACCCTGTCTCTAATGAAAATACAGAAATTAGCCAGGCACAATGGTGCGTGCCTATAATCCCAGGGACTTGGGAAGCTGAGGCAAGAGAATCACTTGAACCTGGGAGGTAGAGGTTGTTGTTAGCTGAGATGGTGCTACTGCACTCCAGCCTGGGAGAGAGAACAAGACTCCATCTCAAAAAATAAAATAAAATAACTATAATAAAAGCCAGATAGAGTCATAAGAGTTGTTGTTGTTGTTGTTGTTTTTAAAAGAAGAAGAAGAAGAAAGGATAACAGGAAAGCAAGGAAAGAAGATGCGGTGCCTAACTGGTTACCAGGTAAGCATTTATCAGCCTTGCAGGGTTAGTAAGATAACCACTATGGATGCCCGTCTAGGCAGAGCAGTGGCATGAATAAAGGTATGAAGAAAGCATGTTTGGGGTATATAGAGAAGTTCAGTTGGGTATAAAGAAGAATAGAAGGGGGAGGACTCAAGATGGCGCTGTGAGAACAACCCAGGATTGAAGCTCGCGGTCAATGCGCAGAGGGGGTGAGTCAGGCCCGCATTTCCAGACGGATCGTTGTTGCCCACAGAACAAGGAAATTCCTAGGTATAGAGGAGACGAGGGACGCCAGCGCAGAGGTTTTGGCTAGCGCAGCCGGCAGCCGGTGCGGCGGCAGCCCATGCTGTGGCGGAGATACACAGCGCTCCACACAAAGCGCGCTCATCCGGGTGCCCTGTTGGGCCGGCAACCTGAGACTTGGGAGGGCTGAACTTGAGACTGAACGGGACTTGGACAGTGAGCCAGCCCAGGAGATTCCAGGGTGACAGCGTTTGGGTTAGCGCAGTGGGACAAACAAAACAGTGATTCCAAACACTCCCCGTGGAGGGGTTCCCTGAGGCCGCAGCTCCATGGGGGAGGGGCGTCCACCATTACCGAGGCAAACCGCCCCTACTGAGGTACACACCCATTGCTGATGCAGCCTGCCGTTGCCGGGGCAACCTGCTACAACAGAGAGACTCCGCAGCAGGGCATAGCCTGTGGCAGCAGGGCGGAGACCACAGCAGAAGGGCAGAGCCTGCAGTAACAGGTCGAACCTCACAACAGCAGGGCGGAGACTCGGCAGGCAAATAGTGACTAGACTGCCTCCTAGCTGGGCAGGACAGCACAGCAGACACTCACAAGGAAAGCCCCAACCCCCCCCCCCAGACAGAGCATCTGAGAAAAAAAGGGTTTTTTTATGAGTTATGTTGCAGCAGAATTAAACATAGCAGCCTAACAGCCCTGAATGAACAACAGAGCTCACAGCTCAGCAATTGAGCTCCTATAAAGTACAGACCGTCTCCTCAAGCAGCTCCCTGACCCCTCTATATCCAAAAGACTGACATTTGGCAGGCATCATTCTGGGACAAAGATAGCAGAAAAAGAAACTGGTAGAATCCCTTACTGTTCCGCAGCTGCTATAGGTGCACCCCAGACAAGCAGGGCCTGGAGTGGACCTCAGCAGTTGTACAGTGAAGGGGCTAGACTGGTAGAAGGAAAACCAAGTAACAGAAATACTTCAGTATCAACAATCTGGGTGTCCACTCAGAGACCCAATCGAAAAGTCAGCAACTACACAGAAGATAGGTGGATAAATCCACAAAGATGGGAAGAAACCAGTGCAAAAAGGAGGAAAACACCCGAAACCAGAACACCTTGCCTCCTAGAAAGGACCAAAACTCCTCACCAGCAAGGGAACAAAGCTGGATGGAGAATGACTGTGACGAAATGTCAGAATTAGACTTCAGAAGGTGGATAATGAGAAACTTTTGTGAGCTAAAAGAACATGTTTTAAATCAATGCAAAGAAACTAAGAACCTTGAAAAAAGATATGAAAAAAGATTCAAGGAAATGATAACAAGAATGGATAACTTAGAGAGGAATATGAATGAATTAAAGGAGCTGCAAAACACAATACGAGAACTTTGTGAAGCATGCACAAGTTTCAATAGCTGAATTGACCAAGCAGAAGAAAGAATATCAGAAGTCGAAGATCAACTCAATGAAATAAAATGAGAAACCAAGATCAGAGAAAAAAGCGCAAAAAGGAATGAACAAAGTCTCCAAGAAATGTGGGACTATGTGAAGAGACCCAACCTACGTTTGATAGGCGTACCAGAATGTGACGAGGAGAATGAATCCAACCTGGAAAATACTCTTCAGGACATTATCCAGGAAAATTCCCCCACCTAGCAAGACAGGCCAACACTCAAATGCAGGAAGTACAGAGAACACCACAAAGATATTCCGCAAGAAGAGCAACCCCAAGGCACATAATCGTCAGATTCAACAAGGTTGAAATAAAGGAGAAAATACTAAGGGCAGCCAGAGAGAAAGGTCGGGTCACCCACAAAGGGAAGCCCATCAGACTCACAGCAGATCTCTCAGCAGAAACTCTACAAGCCAGAAGAGAGTGGGGCCAATATTCAACATCCTTAAAGAAAAGAACTTTCAACCCAGAATTTCATATGCAGCCAAACTGAGCTTTAGAAGTGAAGGAAAAATAAAATCCTTTGCGAACAAGCAAGTACTCAGAGATTTCGTCATCACCAGGCCTGCTTTACAAGAGCTCCTGAAAGAGGCACTAAACATGGAAAGGAACAACCAGTACCAGCCATTCCAAAATCACACTAAATGCTAAAGAGCATCAACATAATGAAGAATCTACAACAACTAAAGGGCAAAACAGCCAGCTAGCTTCAAAATGGCAGTATCAAATTCACACATAACAATATTAACCCTAAATGTAAATGAACTAAATGCACCAATCAAAAGACACAGACTGGCAAATTAGATAAAAATCCAAAACTCATCAGTGTGCTGTATCCAGGAAACCCATCTCACATGCAAGGATACACAAAGGCTCAAAATAAAGGGATGGAGGAAGATTTACCAAGAAAATCGAGAGCAAAAAAAAGCAGAAGTTGCAATTCTCATCTCTAATAAAACAGACTTTAAAGCAACAAAGATCAAAAGAGACAAAGAAGGCCATTACATAATGATAAAAGGATCGATACAACAAGAAGAGCTAACGATCCTAAACATATATGGACCCAATACAGGAGCACCCAGATACATAAGGCAAGTTCTTAACGACTTGCAAAGAGACTTAGACTCCCACACAATAATAGTGGGAGACTTTAACACTCCACTATCAATATTAGACAGATCAACCAGACAGAAAATCAACAAGGATATCCAGGGCTTGAACTCAGACCCGGAGCAAGCAAACCTGATAGACATTTTCAGAACTCTCCACCCCAAATCCACAGAATATACATTCTTCTCAGCACCACATCACACCTACTCTAAAATTGACCACATAATTGGAAGTAAAGCACTGACCAGCAAATGCAAAACAACTGAAATCATAACAAACAGCCTCTCAGACCATAGTGCAATCAAGTTAGAACTCAGAATTCAGAAACCAACCCAGAACCGCAGAGCTTCATGGAAACTGAACAACTGGCTCTTGAATGTTGACTGGATAAACAATGAAATGAAGGCAGAAATAAAGAAGTTCTTCGAAACCAATGATAACAAAGACACAACATGCCAGAATCTCTGGAACACATTTAAAGCAATCTCTAGAGGAAAGTATATAGCAATAAGTGCCCGTATGAGAAGAATGAAGAGATCCAAAATTGACACCCTATCGTCAAAATTGAAAGAGCTAGAGGAGCAAGACCAAAAAAACTCTAAACCCAGCAGAAGACAAGAAATAACTAAGATCAGAGCTGAACTGAAGGAGATTGAGACACGAAAAACCCTCCAAAAAAATCAATAAATCCAAGAGCTGGTTTTTTGAAAAGATCAACAAAATAGACAGACCACTAGCCAGATTGATTAAAAAGAAAAGAGAGAACAACCAAATAGATGCAATAAAAAATGATAAAGGAGAAATCACCACAGATTCCACAGAAATTCAAACCATCATCAGAGAATATTACAAACAACTCTATGCACATAAACTAGTAAACCTGGAAGAAATGGATAAATTCCTGGACTCCTGTGCCCTCCCAAGCCTAAACCAGGAGGAAGCTGAAACTATGAATAGACCAATAACAAGGTCTGAAGTTGAGGCAGCAATTAAGAGCCTACCACACAAAAAAAGCCCAGGTCCAGACGGGTTCACAGCCGAATTCTACCAGACACACAAAGAGGAGCTGGTACCATTCCTTATGAAACTATTCCAACTAATCCAAAAAGAAGGAATCCTTCCCAAATCATTCTATGAGACCAATATCATCCAGATACCAAAACCCAGCAGAGACCCAACAAGAAAAGAAAACTTCAGGCCAATATCCATGACGAACATAGATGCTAAAATCTTCAATAAAATATTGGCAAACCGATTGCAACAGCAAATCAAAAAACTTATTCATCATGATCAAGTAGGATTCATCCCGGGGATGCAAGGCTGGTTCAACATACGCAAGTCTATAAATGTAATTCACCGCATAAACAGAACCAAAAACAAAAACCACATGATTATCTCAATTGATGCAGAGAAGGCATTTGACAAAATTCAACAGCCCTTGATGCTAAAAACCCTCAATAAACTCGGTATCGATGGAACGTATCTCAAAGTAATAAAAGCTATTTATGACAAACCAACAGCCAATATCATACTGAATGGGCAAAAACTGGAAGCATTCCCTTTGAAATCTGGCACTAGACAAGGATGCCCTCTTTCACCACTCCTATTCAATATAGTACTGGAAGTTCTAGCCACAGCAATCAGGCAAGAAAAAGAAATAAAGGGTATTCAAATAGGAAAGGTGGAAGCCAAATTGTCTCTATTTGCAGACGACATGATAGTATATCTAGAAGACCCCATCGCCTCAGCCCAAAAACTCCTGAAACTGATAAGCAACTTCAGCAAAGTCTCAGGATATAAAATCAATGTGCAAAAATCACAAGCCTTCCTCTACACCAATAACAGACTTAAAGAAAGCCAAATCAAGAACGAACTGCCATTCACAGTTGCTACAAAAAGAATAAAATACCTTGGAATACAACTCACAAGGAACGTAAGGGACCTCTTCAAGGAAAACTACAAACCACTGCTCAACGAAATCAGAGAGGACACAAACAGATGGAGAAACATTCCATGTTCATGGTTAGGAAGAATTAATATCATAAAAATGGCTATACGGCCCAAAGTAATTTACAGAATCAATGCTATACCCATCAAGCTACCATTGACTTTCTTCAGAGAACTGGAAAAAACCACCATGAACTTCATATGGAACCAAAAGAGAGCCCACATAGCCAAGTCAATTCTAAGCAAAAAAAACACAGCGGGGGGCACCACACTACCAGATTTCAAACTATACTACAAGGCTACAGTAATCAAAACAGCACGGTACTGGTACCAAAACAGAGATATAGACCATTGGAACAAAACAGAGGCACCGGAGGCAACACAACATATCTACAACCATACAGTCTTTGATAAACCCGACAAAAACAAGCAATGGGGAAAGGATTCCCTGTTCAACAAATGGTGTTGGGAAAACTGACTAGCCATGTGCAGAAAGCAGAAACTGGACCCCTTCCTGACACCTTACACCAAAATTAACTCCAGATGGATTAAAGACTTAAACATAAGACCTGGCACCATAAAAACCCTAGAGGAAAATCTAGGCAAAACCATCCAAGACATAGGAGTAGGCAAGGACTTCATGAACAAAACACCAAAAGCATTGGCAACAAAGGCCAAAATACACAAATGGGACCTAATCAAACTCCACAGCTTCTGCACGGCAAAAGAAACAGTCACTAGAGTGAATCGGCAACCAACAGAATGGGAAAAAATTTTTGCAGTTTACCCATCTGACGAAGGGCTGATATCCAGAATTTACAAAGAACTCAAACAGATTTACAGGAAAAAAACAAACAAGCCCATTCAAAATCGGGCAAAGGATATGAACAGACACTTTACGAAAGAAGACATATATGAGGCCAACAATCATATGAAAAAATGCTCATCGTCACTGGTCATCAGAGAGATGCAAATCAAAACCACATTGAGATACCATCTCACGCCAGTTAGAATGGCGATCATTAAAAAATCTGGAGACAGCAGATGCTGGAGAGGATGTGGAGAAAAAGGAACACTTTTACACTGTTGGTGGGAGTGTAAATTAGTTCAACCTTTGTGGAAGACAGTGTGGCGATTCCTCAAGGCCTTAGAAATAGAAATCCCATTTGACCCAGCAATCCCATTACTGGGTATATATCCAAAGGACTATAAATCGTTCTACTATAAGGACACATGCACACGAATGTTCATTGCAGCACTGTTTACAATAGCAAAGACCTGGAATCAACCAAAATGCCCATCGATGATAGACTGGATTGGGAAAATGTGGCACATATACACTATGGAATATTATGCAGCAATCAGAAATGATGAGTTTGTGTCGTTTGTAGGAACATGGATGAATCTGGAGAACATCATCCTCAGGAAACTGACACAAGAACAGAAAATGAAACACCGCATATTCTCACTCATAGGTGGGTGATGAAAAATGAGAACACATGGACACAGGGAGGGGAGTACTAAACACTGGGGTCTATTGGGGGGAAAAGGGGAGGGCCAGCGGGAGGGGGCGGTGGGGAGGGATAGCCTGGGGAGAAATGCCAAATGTGGGTGAAGGGGAGAAAGGAAGCAAAACACACTGCCATGTGTGTACCTATGCAACTCTCTTGCATGTTCTGCACATGTACCCCCAAACCTAAAATGCAATAAAAAATTAAAAAAAAAAAAAAGAAGAATAGAAGTGACCATATAATGGAGTCTGAGAGAAGGAGCATGTCTAAAAATCATCTTGATATCTCGATACCTTCAGTGTCTAATACTATGGCTGGCACATGGTAACTGCACAATAGATGTTAGCATGAAAGACTGTCAGATATGCTGTGGCTGCTAAGTGGTGGCAGAAGACCATCATCTATCAGGCCTAAAGGAGGAATTATTTCCATTGCTGAGTTTCTAATTGCCTTTACAGTATTGTACACTGGTTGAAAATGGTCTCTGTCCTCAGATTTACTTTTACATGGCCCCAGAGCCTAGAAAAATATATAGCAAACTATGCGGGAGGGAGGGGGTAGAGCTTAGGAAATAGAATATGTTCACAGTATTAATATTTGCTTTAACTCACCATAACAAATTCCATTAAATCAGAATATTCTGGATTATTTGGATCAATTCTGACTTCATTTGCCCATTCAAAAAGCTTCTGTTCATTAATGAGCCATGGAATTCCAGGAACACCTCTTGCATCTACATTCCTTAACATACTAACATAGAGAAAATATCTTATGAACTTGCATACAATATCCAATATATGTATTATATACAGTACATTCTTGTATAGGGCAAAAACATACCCATTCTTGGTATTTGAAGATAAAATTTATCCATCCTCTGTATTTATGGATAGAATAGAAAGTTGAGATGTGATATCTTTCCTAGTTCTCATTCTAACTTCTTCATAGCTTTTTGATTAATGTTTATAAGAGATAGTAACTTTATTAAGAATAGTCTGTAAATATTCATCCTTGCCATCTATATGCCATGTAGTAGCCAAAATATAGTAGATGCTTAAGTGAATGGTGCTTATTGGATATATTATGTAAACCCTAAGCATAGTAATTTATTAAATATTTTCTTTTCACAGGATGGACAATATTGAAATTTAATCAAAATATTCACTTAAGCAAAGTTCAGAAAGCACACAAAATAAAAATCACCTTTAGGCTACATCCTTACAGTTGAAACAAGAAGTAATGCAATTAACTGGGTAAGTATGGGCCAGAGGACCATCCTTGGTCATATGAGATTATCTTAAAAGTTGGAGAGCTATAAAAGATAGGCTAGACTCATAAGATATCCTTAGCGACCTTAGTTGTAGACTAAGTGCAAAAGGAATTCAATCCTAATGAGTAAGGATTTCTTTAGAACCATCGGTTATCCCAACTATTTAATCTCTATCTTCATAGAGAATTTTTCTTACCATGTGTAATTAGAGGAATTTTGACTAGAAGATTTTTACTATCCTTTCTTTAAAATAGTCCAGAAAGGTTCCTGTCTATAAATTGGGATTCCAGAAATACAATTCTGACACAGATTCAACAATGTCTTTGCCCAAGCATGGGCACACATTTTACATTGTCTGCTTCCCATCTCCTCATATTTCTATGATGAATCTTCTGAGGCTATTGCTACAGAAACCAATGTGTGGTATGGTAAGATGTAAGCAAAATTACAAATAGGCAAAATTTACGTATTCTTCTTTTCTTTTGCTTCCTATGTCTGCCCTCATTTTGAACTATTTTGATATCTGTGTCATAAGGGATTGCTAGGACCTGACACCCTTGACACCATGATATAATAAATTTTCCTTCTAGAAACGTCTTAGCCCAGATCCCCTAGAAGACAGCCTCAGGTAAAGCTTAAATCCTAACAAATAGATTAGAGGGAAGCTTATCCCATTATAAGCTTTGTAAGGATATATCCCATTATATCCTTTAACAACAATAAACAACAAAGAAAGTTGTGATTGGATTTCAACATAGTCCCATGATTTCTGCCTCAGAGAAAGTAATAAAAATCTCAGAGCCTTGATGGGAATACAATGATTCCACACCACTCCCTCATAGATGTTTAGCTCCTATATGCTCCTATAGATGTTTAGCTGTGGGCTATGGCTCACAGCAGTGCTGTTCCTTGTGTCAAAACCAGTCAAATGATTGAAGATTTCCCCACCCTCCATCCCTCTCTCCCTCTTCCTTTCAGTTGAATACTACTACTTTGTAGATAGAGAGCTAGAAGCTATGCTTTATAAAAGACATGGGAAACTCTTTGATTGTTGTCTATCTAAAACAGTCCTGACATTTACATCTTATTTCAGACAGAAGAATCGAAGTATAGCATGGCCCCAAGAAAGAGGTAAGCTTTAATACTAGCAGACCCCAAGACACATGGCTTATATACCCAAATGCTAGGCCACAGCTACCATGTTTTTCAATTGAGATAAAATATACATAACATTTATCACTTTATTTATTTATTATTTTTATTTTTTTTTTTTGAGACAGAGTTTTGCTCACTTTACCCAGGCTGGAGTGCAATGGCACGATCTCGGCTCACCACAACCTCTGCCTCCTGGGTTCAGGCAATTCTCCTGCCTCAGCCTCCTGAGTAGCTGGGATTACAGGCGTGTGCCACCATGCCCAGCTAATTTTTTGTATTTTGAGTAGAGACGGGGTTTCACCATGTTGACCAGGATGGTCTCGATATCTTGACCTCGTGATCCACCCGCCTCGGCCTCCCAAAGTGCTGGGATTACAGGCGTAAGCCACCGGGCCTGGCCCCACTTTATTTTAAAATACACAATTCAGTGGCATCAAGTACACTCACAATGTTGTGCAACCATCACCACCTTCTATTTCCAGATTGTAGTGATGGTTGTACAACTCTGTGAATATATTAAAACCACTGCATTGCATATTTTAATTGGTTGAATTTTATGGTGTGTGTATTGTATTTCAATAAAGATGTTAAATAACAGTTAAAAATATAATTGTGCTCAAGCTAAGATAAACATTCCTGTGAACCAGAAATGGAAAAGAATGGGCAGAGTGGTGAGTGGGGATAGTGCTGGGCTTCAGGCCTAGGAGCAGTCTGTGGTGGGTGTGGGCTCAGTTCCTGAGACAGGGAATTAGCACCAGGCTTATTATTTTAAGCCAAAGATTTGGGTGGGATTTTACTTAAATAAAGGGACCATTAAAAAAATACTGACCACTGCATGGGGCTGTGGCTTTTAGAAAGCTAAGTCTAGAGAGGGAAAAGGATATAGACACTGCCTCCTAATGAGGAACTGAACCAGGCTCACAGTTCACCAGATGCCTAGATCTATGATGACTCCAATAGCAAACCAGTATAACAACCTAACCACCCAACCTACCCAGTAATTAGGCTTATGGCCTATTTTTGGATTTAGGAGGACAGATGAAGTCAAATTCAGAACCATTAGGTAAGAAGGGCAGATGCAGAAGGAGAGAGAGGAAAAACAAAAACCAAAGCAAAAACCCAGAAACCTCCAAATCAAAATCCCCTGAAAGTTCTCCAACTCAAAATGACCCGGATAACCAAAACTTCTGAGCAAAGAAGCCACGCTCAGAAAAATAACTAACAGTATCGACATCAGAATATGAATTAATTCTAGCTGAATTAACTTTATGAAAATCTGCCAGACACATTTTAATGAAGTATGCCTAAGATGTTAAAACAAATGAAAACTAACAATTCAGTTTTAAATGCAAGAAATAATGCAAAAAAATGCCAAAATGAAATAAAAAATATAAAGAGAATCAAACAAAACTTAGTAGCAGAAAATACAAGTAAAAATTATAACTTTAAAATCAAATAAACCTTATACTAGACAAAGTTAAATAACAAATTAAGGAACTAAAAAGTAATACCCAGAAATTCACCCAGGATGCAGATGAAATAAATACACAAAAAATATGAAATAATAGGTAAGAGATGTAGCTAAGAGGCTGAGGCTTGGCTGGGCTCAGTGGCTGAAGCCCGTAATCCTAGCACATTGTGAGGCCAAGGTGAGAGGATCTCTTGAGCCCGGGAGTTTATCAGCCTGAGCAACATAGCAAGACCTCCTCCTCTCTTAAAAAGAAAACCAAGAAAGCAAGAAAAAAATTAGCTGGACATAGTGGCACCTGCCTATCATCTCAGCTACTCAGGAAGCTGACACAGGAGGATTGTTGAACCCAGGAGTTTGAGGCTGATACACCACTGCATTCCAGCTTGAGTGACAGAGCGAGACCCTGTCTCAAAAACAAATAAATGAAAAATAGACTGAGAGGCTCCAATACAAATTCAATAAGAAGTCCTGAAGGATACAAAAGTCAGCTTGGCGTGGTGGCGGGCATCTGTAATCCCAGCTACTCGGGAGGCTGAGGCAGAAGAATCGCTTGAGCCCGGAAGGGGGAGGTTGCAGTGAGTGGAGATTGCACCATTGCGCTCCAGCTTGGGTGACTAAAGAAAAACTCCATCTCAAAAAAAAAAAAGAAGTCCAGAAGGAGAGAAGAGTGGGAATGGTGAAGAAGTAATATTCAAATACATAGTGGCTGAGAAGTTTCTATAACTGTTGAAAGATGTGAGTCTTTAAACAAAATTTATTCTGCTAAGCAGGAAAAAGAATAATGATACCCCACACATGTATAGTAAAGTTGCAGTACTTTAAGGATAAAGCAAAATATTTTTCATGGCTCAAATGGCAATTTCTTCCTTTTCTATAAAGGTAAAAGACACATAATATAAAATTTATCACCATTCTAAAGTGTAAATTCAGCAATATTAAGTATATTCACGGTACTGTGCAACCATCATCACTACCTATTTCCAGAATTTTTTCCTTCATCCCAAACTGAAACTCTGTACACATTAAACAATAACTCCCATTTCTCCCTTCACCATCCCTAGTAACCTTTTTCCACTTCCTGTCTCTGAATTAAGTGAAAAATTTCAACATTATCAGAGGGAAAATATACCCTATAAAAGCCCAACATTTAGACCAACAGGGGACTTAAAAACAGCAATGATAAATCCCAGAAAATAATGCAGTTCTCTAACAGCTTCAAAGTGAAAAATATATAACATCCTCAAATTTTCTACTCACCTAAACTATTACTTAATGAGGCCAAAATAAAGACACTTTTAGATCAAGAAAAGTTAAAGAAATTTGCTACCCATAGAAACTAACTGAAAGAATCATTAAAGGAGCATTTTCAGCACAAAAAGTAAATCGAGAATGAAGGACGAGAAATAAGAAATAGAGGTAAACATAAAAGTCAATTAACTATGTTAAAAATTTCATTAACTAGTGAGTGTAAGAAAAACTGTTTTACTTTTAAAAATGAAAACTCTGGACAATGATCATTGAGATTGGAGAGGTGTGGGGTTTTTTGTTTTTGCTTTGTTTTGTTTTTTGTTTATTGAGACAGAGACTCGCTCTGTCACCTAGGCTGGAGTGCAATGGCACAATCCTGGCTCATTGCAACCACCACTTCCCAGGTTCAAGTGATTCTCTTTCCTTAGCCTCCCAGGTAGCTGGGACAACAGGCGCATGCTACCATGCCCAGCTAATTTTTGTATTTTTAGTAGAGATGAGTTTTTACCATGTTGGCCAGACTGGTCTCGAACTCCTGACCTCAGGTGATTCATCCGCCTCAGCCTCCAGAAGTGCTGAGATTATAGTCGTGAGCCACTGCACCCAGCTGAGAGATGTGTTTAATGTGGTATTACAGCATTAAAGCTTGCTGAGACTCTCTTTTGGTTCACTGCTTTATCTCCAGTTCAGTCAGTAGTTAAATGAGTAAGTAAATGAGTGAGTAACAAAACTGTCTTTCAGCTCTCCTTTGGCTTCATTCTCTGATTCCCACAAGTCAGTCCTGCCTTCTGGAGCACCCATCCCAATTCCTAGAACTACTGCTCACAGACAGTCAGTCCTTGAGCTGCCACAAAAGAACTGTGGGAAAGTTCTGTAACTTCCTCTAATTGTAAAGTTTGACTCAGAGAGGGCCCCGGACTTTGAAAACCTCTCTTGCAATTTACTTCTTGCTGAAACCTGTCATTTGTCACACTCTTGCATAGTACTGCTTTCTATCTTTTGTAAGCTTGAGTTTCCAAGTAATAGGAATTGTAAGACAACGAGGACAGGCCAATGAATATGGCTTGAAGGCTTGCTAGTAACCTTAGGTAACAAGTGGGCAGGGTTAGGAAAGGACTGTGTGAACAGTGGAGGGAATGTATGCAGGCCAATAGGCCACACATAGCAAAAACTAGCCAAAATGGGTTTCAGGATTTAATCAGGCGCTTGAGTTTTGCTTGTTTGTTTTAATGCAAAGAAGTGTACAAAAGACTAACGGCCTAGGGAGATGGACAAGTTGAAGATAATGGAAGAAAAAGATATAAATGCATCAGTAGAATTGTAAAAGACAAAAAGCTCCAAATTACCTGCATAAAAGTTAGCCTCAGAGTGAGGAGGACAAACATCTCAAAGTTCCATTTCCGTCTTCATAGTGATGTTGTCTCTTTCCCTGAGTAGAGGAAGAGAAAGTTTCTCTTCTCCAGAACCATACATAGCTTTTCACTTGGGTTCACTTGGGTTCTATTCATGGCTTCAGGGTCCTGACTCTGAAGGACCTCATACTCTTTCCAATATATTGAGCTTTTTCCCCCCACTGATTTCAATCTTTTGTAAGCTTATCACTTGTAATCACTTCTTTTAAGAAGATAAATATTGCCCCAGCTTTCAAGAAATTTGTCCCTTGATTCATTTGTCTTCTATTTTGTAGCATATTTTTTATTGTCAAACTCCTTGGTAAGTAAACTACCCCCACTATTTCAGTTTCCTCCACACCAATGATCTTCTTGTGCTACTGCCATTTAGTTTTTTCTCTCTCAATTTCTTATATACTGAAGAAAAGCATTTATGAACTCTTACTGTGACTCTGGCCGTATGCTTCTGTTTTTCTTTTAAGTTGTACTTTAAGTTCTGGGGTACATGTGCAGAATCTTACAGGATTGTTGCATAGGTACACACATGCCATGGTGGTTTGCTTCTCCATCCCCCCATCACCTACATCAGGCATTTCTCCCAGGAGGTGGTTGTTTTTTAAAAGATCAGCAAAACAGACTGATAGCTAGACTAATAGAAAAGACAGAAGAATTGAATAGATGCAATAAAAAATGATAAAGTGTATACCATCACCAATTCCACAGATAGGCAAACTACCATCAGAGATTACTACAAACAACTCTATGCATATAAACCAGTAAATCTGGACGAAATTGATAAATTCCTGGACACTTGCACCCTCCTATGACTAACCTATTCAGAAAGCAGTTGAAACCCTGAATAGGCCAATAACAAGGTCTGAAGTTGAGGCAGCAATTAATAGCCTACTGACCAAAAAAAGTCCAGGTCCAGATAGGTTCACAATCGAATTCTGCCATACATACAAAGAGGAGCTGGTATCATTCCTTCTGAAACTATTCCAAACAATACAAAAAGAGGGAACCCTCCCTAACTCATTTTATGACACCAACATCATCCTGATATCAAAACCTGGCAGAGACACAACTAAAAAAGAAAACTTCAGGCCAATATCCATGATGAACATCAATGCAAAAATCTTCAATATAATACTGGCAAACCAAATGCAACAGCACATCAAAATGCTATTTTTTTTATATATAATGTTCTCCTGGTTATTTTTTAAACAGTCTCTAATTTTAGTTTCGATTTTCTGTTTAATCCAGTTATATATAACAATTTTCAAAACTATAGTATTTTTAAAAGATAATTTTTAAGAGAAGTTTTAGATTTGCAGCAAACTTGAACAAAAGGCACAGAAAGTTCCCATGTACCCCATCCCCATAAACACACACGGCCTCCCCAGCTGTCAACATCCCACGCCAGAGTGGTACCTTTTTTACAATCCGTGAACCTGCATAGACACATCATTGTCACCCAAAGTCCATAGTTTACATTAGGGTTCACCCTTGGTGTTGTACATTCTCTGGGTTTTGACAACTGCATAATGACATGTATCCATCATGATAATGTTATGCAAAATAGTTTCACTACCCCAAAAATCCTGTGTGCTCCATCTATTCATCCTTCCTTCCCCCCAGAACCTCTGGCAACCAATGATCTTTCTACTGTCTCCATAGTTTTGCCCTTTCTAAAATGCCATAGAGCTGTACATAGCTTTTTATTTCTGTTTGAATATGTGGAGATGGGGAGGAGAGAGGATATCTTTTTGTTATTGTTCATTATTTTAAATGATGAAATCAACTTTTTCCTTTATATTTACCATATCCCTCAAACATAGCACATTATGGAAGCCAGTATTATTATCATTTTTATAGAATTTACTGCACTTATTTCTAGTAATCCTATAAATAATTAATCTGAAAATTAACCCCAGCTCTTCTGGGAACTCCCAGAATGATAATGCATAAATGATTCTTTGCTAATCCAGAATGACTTGGAGATATACAGGCCCCAGAAATAAAGTCCCTGGGAGTCTTGACCTTTGCCTACAAGCAAAGGACTCTGGGAATGCCTCTCTCATCATCCATGTGGCTATAATTCTAAGCATTGAAGGAACACATTCTCTTACATATAAATACACCTACTGCCTTAGTAGAGTGATTTAAATAAAAGATAAATCAACATTCAAATAAACTAAACTCTTCCTATGGCTGCTTGAGTTTTCTCTTTTACAGGTTATTATGTTTTGTGTGATGCTTTGCTGAGATCTGGCATTATTTTTTAAAGACAAAAGCTTATTACCTGCAGTAAGCAGACCTTAATGACTGTGATTTCAGAGGTTTCAGAGGAATACCATTTTTATCTAAGCTCCATGATAGAGAATAGCTAAGTTTTCCTGATGTCAAAAGACAGAGTTCTTCAGTTCCATTTCCCTCAAGAAGAAAAGGCACATCTGTTTAAAAAAGGCATTAAAAACATTTGAATTGTTTTAAGTGCAGTTGGAGCACATTGTGGGTTTTTCTCCCTGACTTTTACTTGTGGAACTCTAAGAACACAATGGAAGATCTGTGCTAACCCCACTGTTATCTGAGTGCTCTCCCTCATCGCTTTACGATACTTCAAGGACAACAAAACAGAAGGTAAAGACTGAGATGAATATGTAGAGGTGAATATCACGCTTTCCTCCTTTTATGTCTGGAGGTTTCTTAACCATTCTCTGTAGGCCTGGCTTTCAGCAAGAAAGGACCATTGACAGTAGAATAAGAGGCCAGCAAGCTGCTCTTTCTCCTCTTCCCCTGCATTCCCGAGTCTTCTGCATCTCCTCTTTTTCTTTCTTAATCTCCAAAGAGTCCAACAACACTTCTTAAAACTTTTGCTGAGTGCCCAGTGTTCCCTAAATTCTTCAAGTCCTGAGTCTTTTCTCCCCTGTCTCCATAAGCCTATTTCTCTGCTTTATCTGGACTTGAAGCAAACTCCATTCTTTCCTCATTCTCTGCCCTTTTTCTTCTCTCTTCCCTTTGCTCACTTGTTCATACTTCCTTACTTTTCTCCAAATGGGCCCAAGTAGTTGCAAAACCCCTAGAAAGATATAAGAAAGGAATCATGGGGAGAAAGAGAGGAACAACAGTGCTCTCAGAGACACACTAACTTACATTTAACCGTATAAAAGCAGCAAAATCGGGCCGGGCGCGGTAGCTCACGCCTGTAATCCCAGCACTTTGGGAGGCCGAGGCGGGTGGATCACGAGGTCAAGAGAGCGAGACCATCCTGGTCAACACAGTGAAACCCCCGTCTCTACTAAAAATTCAAAAAAATTAGCTGTGCATGGTGACGCGTGCCTGCAATCCCAGCTACTCAGGAGGCTGAGGCAGGAGATTTGCCTGAACCCAGGAGGCGGAGGTTGCGGTGAGCCGAGATCGCACAGCCTGGGTAACAAGAGCGAAACTCCGTCTCTAAATAAATAAATAAAAATAAAAGGAGCAAAATCAATTGAAAAAACACAAAGAACAGAAACATCCCTTCTTTCTTCTCCCCTTTTCTCTGTCCCTCCCTCATTTTCTTCTACCCTTCCCTACACAGTTCAAAGACAAATCCATATGTCCACGAGCACCTGTAGGTTCAGTAAAGGAGAGGTAGAGCAAAGCGGCCAGCCCACTCAAAAGCAGAGCTCGCTTTCCAGAGAGCATTCTATCCTTGCCTTGGACGGCCTACAAAAAGCACGGGTGCTAACTGCTCATTTGAAATTTCCCGAAAATCTGACCCAAGACAAGCTTTAAACAATCTAGTTTAACATCTGAATTAATAATTTAATTCATTTTTAACAGAATACTGTAAATACAGGGCCAGGCACCTGTAATCCCAGCACTTTGGGAGGCCGATGTGGGCAAATCACCTGAGGTCAGGAGTTCGAGACCAGCCTGGCTAAAATGGTGAAACCCAATCTCTACTAAAAATATAAAAATTAGCCAGGCATGGTGGTGGGCATCTGAGGCATGAGAATCACTTGAACCTGGGAAGTGAAGGTTGCAGTGAACTGAGATCGAGCTGCTACACTCCATCCTGGGTGAGACTCTGTCTCAAAAAAAAAAAAAAAGAATATTGTAAATATAGGATTTTGTACTTATGTGAATGACCCAGGGTCATTTAGGAATATGGTACTCAGGAAGAAAATAGGGAGAATGTAATATTTTTAATAAACTCACTGCTTCCTACTTCTCCATCGGCAGGCATAACCAGCTTATGAGAGCTAAACTCTACATATTCCAAAATGTTTTTACCTTTCACCTCTGTGTAGTTAGGTAAAGGTAAATATAGTTTGGCCAGTAAGCTTGTCCTTTTACTTTTTTCATAAACCTAAATATAAAAGAAATGGTTGATAGCTCACCTAAAATACAACATAGAAAAAAGGAAAAAAGAAGCACCCTTAACAACATATTTTTATTCATTTTTTTTAAAATACCAGACTATAAAATAAATATTGCTCTATAGTATTTCCTCCACATGATTATTATAAGAGAAGCCAGTCATGTCCTTGAAAGTGTAATGCCTTTTACTGGCTTCATAGAAAATGAATTGAATACAAGGGATTATGAATACGGTTGTGAGAATACATATCTGAAGTACATATAACATAAAACCATAGTAACTTAATTTTAGGTAGCGCTTAATTCTTTATCTCATGTAAATCTGATAGTAATTATAGGAAATAAATATTATTCTCATTTTATAAATGAGGAAATGGAAGCTCTATATGAAAATATGTTTGTTTTTATTATAAGTGATTCAGACCCAGTTGAATTGCTTAGGAAAAAGGTAGAGTCATTGGTTCATGAAATCCAAGGATGAGTTAAATAAGCCATGGCAGGCAGGGAGGGAGGAAAAGCTCCAGAAGAAAGGAAAAGGGGATGCTGAGTAGACCATCCCATAGAGGTTCACTGAGTGCTAAACCCAGGTCTTCTGATTCTATAGGATAGGCTTTTTACTACAATTCCATGTAAGTTCACTTCCATAACTATAAGCCAAACTTATTTTTTTTTTTTTCTTGAGACGAAGTCTTGCTCTATCACGCAGGCTGGAGTGCAGCGGCTCAATCTTAGCTTACTGCAACCTTTGCCTCCTGGATTCAAGTGGTTCTCCTGACTTGGCCTCCTGAGTAGCTGGGACTACAGGCGCCTGCCACCATGCCCGGCTAATTTTTGTATTTTTAGTAGAGATGAGGTTTCATCATTTTGACCAGGCTGACCTCGAACTCCTGACCGCAGGTGATCCACCTGCCTTGGCCTCCCAAAGTGCTAGGATTACAGGCATGAGCCACCGCACTCAGCCTAAGCAAACTTTTCAATTAAAAAAAACCTCATTTTGATCCATACTCTGTTGCCAGTACATGGGAAAACAGTGGTTGTGCTCTAAGAAGGAAATCAGAGGGGAAGATTTCTCCTTGAAAGATAAGAAAGAATATGCCAATCAAAGTGATGACTTATTAGCCAAGAAATTAAAGAAAAAGTAAAGTCGAAGAGACACCTATTTTTTCTGGTTATCTAAATACTTCCTTGCAAGAGAGAATTTAAGACACCACACTGGTACCTTTGACGAAGGCATCCCTACTGCAGAGGTTTGTAGGAGTTACAGTTCTGTCAAATAAGTTTCTTATTGTAAATCAGTAAATTGGCTAACTTTCAGAGAAAATGAACTGATAAATATATTCCAATGTTGAGTTGGCATTTACACTTCAGCCTTGTAAATTTGCTTAGGGTGTGTAGGATGCATTCTCAGTGGACTGTCAAATCCAGGTTCTTGGACTACAGGCTGGAAACCAGCCTCTGGACAGCACAGTAAGTGTATTAAGATAGAGAATTGTAACAGTTGAGGGATCCTAGGAGCCAGTCTTGTCCCCTGATTACAACTGTCAACACCATGTTGCAGATGAGATTGAGAATCTAAAGTGTTAAGAGTGAAAATGGGTGTTTTAAATGGAGCAACTAACACATACAAAAGCTCAGAGGTAGGAAATTACAAGGACATATGGCAAAAGACAAGCAGCTCAGTTTGGCTGAAGTGATGAATGAATAAAGAGGAGTAATAAGAAATGAATTAAAGGCAGGGCATGGTGGTTCATGCCTGTAATCCCAGCAGATGCTGAGGTGGGCAGAACCACTTGAGGTCAGGAGTTCAGGACCAGCCTGGCCAACACGGTGAAAATCCATCTCTACTAAAAATACAAAAATTAGTTGGGTGTGGTGGCAGGTGTCTGTTTCCCAGCTACTTGAGAGGCAGAGGAAGGAGAATTGCTTGAACCTGGGAGGTAGAGGCTGCAGTGGCGCCGGGGCCATGCCACTGCACTCCAGCCTGTGCAACAGAGCGAGACTCTGTCTCAAAAAAGAAAAGAAAAGAAAAGAAAAATAAAAAAGAAAGAAAAGAAATAAATGAATTAAAATGTACGTTAAAGTCTGTTAGGCCAGGGCATATCAATTTATTTTGCAATTTTTGCACTTGCTAATGGTGAATTCATTTCTAACTAGATTCATCTCCCTCCCTGCCTCTTAGTTTGTTAGGCTCATACACTAAGTGATAGAATAATAAAGGACTCAAAATACACATTCACCTATTTGGGGAGGCAGATTTTAAACTTCGATTGATTGGATTATTATATCGCCATGTACTTCAGGTACAACAGTAGGAAAGTATAGGCCTCTTTTTTTTTTTGTATTAGGAATTCAGTGTGGAAAGTTGGCATATTTTTAATGTAGGAATTTCAACAGAGGGACATTGTAAAATGATGGAAACTTGGATACATGAATAATGAAGAGAATATCTATCAGGGAGAGAATAAAATTATTCTAGACATTTTAAAATATTTTCATTTATATGTGTAACTATAGTTCTCTCCCTACTCCTCAAGCACTCCCACTTCCTACACATAAATCTTTATTCCCGCCTAACTTTTTATTCAGATCTAGCTTGAAGTTTAACCTTTATATTAGCCACCAGGACTTCTTGTCTAGATTCCTACACTGTCTCTCATTTTTCTCCATCATCCTATTTTCTTCTTCCATTAGTGTGGGGGTTTTTACAGTGGGATCTTTGGACAGAGACTGGGGGTCTCTTGTGTGTATGTTCTTTCATCTGATTCTGAGAGGGATCTAACTTCCAAAAAAGAGGAAGACCAAATACAGCAAGAGACTGAAGCCACCAAGTTAGGGGTGTGGAAGTTTGTATTATTGAAATCATTCAACATTTAAAATAGCTATGCTACTCATTACACTTTAAACAGAACTTTTCTGCCTCATTGCTAATGAATAGTAGTGCTGCACATCTAGGAGTGCAGAAATTTTAGCATGAGAGGAGTATTTGGAACATTACAAATCAAATAACATTGTACTTACAGCATAAAAGACTGTTGGTGAATTATACATTTATAAATATCTTATCATCTATCCATAAAGATTAGTCCATCTCTCAACATCAAAGAAATTACTTATCACATGTAATCATAGCTAACAAAAAGTTTTAAATTACGTATGGCATAAAATAAGATAAAAAAGTAAATGACAATGGCATACCTCCAAGCAAATCACTTCAGGCCAGTATATTAACTGAATATTGAAAATTTGCTGAAACGTGACTTTAAAATCCAACTGTAGGGTAGATATTGAAGTACAAGAAACCTGTTTATTGTTGTAGAATATTTTAATAAAGTATTTGAGCTTTTGAATTTTGGCTCTCCTCTTTTGTTCATGCCTAAAAATTAAACAAACCTTTAAATTACCGTTAAGGAGTAGAACAGATATAAAATATTGTTCTTTCAAAATGTATATTATCATGTTAAACAGAAGATAATTTCAGAGGACCCGTGTTATCTTTACATCAAATAACACTTGTCTACATATGGATAAAAATTTCTTCCCAGTCAAATGTTTTTAATGAAAGAAATATACTCAAAATATGTACTCAAAAATAGAAGAACTAAAATCAAAGTACTATAAATCATTCAGCTATTATATTACTAAATTATAATTTAAAGAGATTACAGCACTTATCTACCAGATGTCTTATGAGAGGAAAAAACTGAGGGGCTTGGGAATGGGTAGGGGAAGTTGAATCAAGAATTTAAAAATATTTCCTAACTTTAAAAAGACATGCACATAGATTACATACACAAACACACAACCCTCCACACACCATACTGTCAATAACTTCAAAGATGGGGCTCTAAGGCAACAGCCTTGCTGTGTCCTCTTAAAGGTCTTTGTAAATCATCATAAGCTTTAGGCTGTGTACCCCTTTTCTCCAGGACAGTGGGGAAGTCACCCTATCTTTGAACCCAAAGATCAAAGGAAAAAGCCAGGTTACTTCCCTGGGGGAAACACTTGTTGAGGCATAAGTTGATCCCTTGACTAATATAAAACTCCTAGAGTCTAAAGTACAATAAAATACATATATATATATATATATATATATATATATATATACACATATACATATATATAAAACTCCTAGAGTTTTTCATTCATTAATTAATTCACTCAATCAACATTTATTGAATATCTTCTTAGCTGCAAGAGAACTGACCTAATGATGTTTAAGACTTGACCCTCTTTTTTAGAAGGGAGAAGGCTGGGTGGAAGATAAATCCTAAGTTGAAACGTAAAATCCCTTTCTGCTACCCAATCTAATCACCCTATGGGCCCAGTATGTTCCTCTCCTATTACCTGTCGGTCTCTGTAAACTTCTCAGAGAGTTAGGGCACAAAAGATTACCTATTCTTATTATCTCCCTGTTGGCCTCCTTCGACCATATTCCCAATCACCTTTCAAGAAATAGCTAAGTAAAAGTTACCTTTCTGTTGTCCTCTAAAAGTAGTTTTAACAATGAGTTCATGGATTGATTATAAAAATTCATTGATTTAGGATTATATTTATCTTCAGGATATCTTGCCTTTCTCTTTACCTATAAACTTTTAAAAATTCTTCTCTAATCTCTGTATTCTTTTCACTTCTATCCTCTATATCAACATATTATTCTTTTCTGGAGAATCAGTTTTTATTCAATTGTTTTTGTTTTTTTTTTTTTTTTTTTGAGACGGAGTTTTGCTCTTGTTACCCAGGCTGGAGTGCAATGGTGCCACCTCGGCTCACCGCAACCTCCGCCTCCTGGGTTCAGGCAATTCTCCTGCCTCAGCCTCCTGAGTAGCTGGGATTACAGGCACACGCCACCATGCCCAGCTAATTTTTTTTGCATTTTTAGTAGAGACAGGGTTTCACCATGTTGACCAGGATAGTCTCAATCTCTTGACCTCGTGATCCACCCGCGTCGGCTTCCCAAAGTGCTGGGATTATAGGCTTGAGCCACTGGCTTTGCAAATGTACAAAACATCATACGTCTTTTTGCCTTGACTTCCACTAAGTTTTAGTCTAGGTTTCCCAGCACAAATATGTTCTTCCTCCTTTCTTCTCTCTCCCTCCAACTTTCATTTTATGGCTCCTGTATTCTTACCCTTATTTATATGGTCTTTTGTATATGGGTGTCCTATATAATAAAAGATCTCAGACCCTTTCTGGAAGGAGGTACAGAACAAATAAAGGATTTCTCCACTGCTGCTCTTCTCTGGTCAGAAAGTGGGTGGTGATAATTGTGACTTTGTGTCTACTACTCTTTAGGTTCATTGTTAATGTAATCATCCAATCATTCATTTAATAAATGTAAACATTTATTGAATACCCACTATGTTCCAACACTGCTAAATGATGCACATTCCCAATAATCAAAGATGGACTGGTACCAAGTGTGCCATGGGATAGAGATGTTGAAAAATTAGACCTGGTACTCTGCCATATCCTCTTTAAGGCAGATGGGATCCATAGGCCTAGTAGATGGAGAAACGGGTTTCCTATGATGTTTGTTTTTGCATAATGTTGTAGGCATAGGGAGAAACATCATAGCTCAAGGAAGAAATCAGAACTGGGAAGTAAAGAAGTTCATAATGTCAAAGAAAATTGTTCAGAGCACCCTCATGATATGAAATCGTTTTTATGAGAACCAGAGTTCCTTTAACAAGCAAAGGCAATGGTATATTACTTTTTACAGTAGCTTTCTATCTCACCTATTTATACCTGAACAAAAATTACTACCATAGCAAACCGCTCCCCCCAACAAAGTATCAATATATGAAGGCTAGCAGTGAAGATACCATAGTTTCTATAGAAAACCAAACTGATTTATGTCCCACCTAAGTCATGTATTAGATGTGTGAACCTGGGCAATTTCACTTCCTATAAGCTATGTTCCTTCTTTAAGATGAGGATAATATGGAATTCCATAGAGCTATGATGACAATTAAATGTGAAAATGAGTTTTTAAAAACTTACAGTGCCTGGCATATGATACTCACTCAAGAAATCCCACTTTAATATTAAAAACAATACAATTAATAGACAATATATAATTTAAAAAATTCTTTAAACATGCTTACAATGAACACTTGGATAAGCTTGTTAATTCTGCAGTGAAAGAAAGTTGTGGCCTCAAGGTAATTGGCTTCATTCTTTCAATTTCTGTTTCATCTGAAGCTAGATATGAGAGGCTCTAGAAATCAAAAAGTAAATATACAATTTACCATGTACATCCCTTGTGTGGGACATTTATTCTTAAAATCCATTTATTTCTTGTATTTGTCATTTTGTTGAAATACTAAGATTTCACATTCTACCAAAAAATGAAATATTATTACTAGTTGAGTTTAATGTTATTTTGTAATATAAATACCTCTTGTTTTTTCCCATTCTTAAGTTCTTTTCCTTCAGTTTTCTTTTCAGTTTCAGACATTTCTGAGATTTGTTCTTGTTCATCACATTTATTTATTTTTATCCTAATTAATAATAAATTTAGAATTATTGAAAGCAGAAATAATGGTGGTATTTGAGAGTTGTTTGAGTTTTTGCCAACACACACACACACACACACACACACACAATCTATTACAAGTAATTTTATATTCTGAGGAAATTACCAATTTTATAAACATTTTTAAAATCTTTATAAATTTGTTCTTAGCTTTCACAAATTTCTCCCTGCTCAGTAAATTTATCATTGGTGTTTACAGTCCTTTCTAAAGGCATCAAGAAACCTTTCCTTTGGTGAGAGTAAGTAACAGGGCAATACGGAGACAGAAATTAAAGGACACATACCCTATTTCCTCTCATTTTTCTTCCTCTCAGATTTTTTAAGCTGTGAGAACTTGAGCAGGTGATCAGGGTGATATCAAGTGGTGAATCATAGTTGGTGTTTATGCATAAACAGTAAACAGCTCATGGCATTAGCACCATTGCCACTGCTGCTGCTACTACTATTACTACTACTAGCTAATCCTTATATAGTATTTACTAAGTGTGTGCCAATAGTGTAAGTACTTTATTAACTGATTTAATTATCACAACCCTATGAAGTACTATTATTCCCCTTTTATTAGTAGTTCAATAAAATCCCAGTTACCTGATCAGTTTCAGAAAATTATTGATCTAGGAGTCAAGTTTTTCTGATAGTATCAAAGTTTATTGTTTTCAGTATAAGGTTTTGTTTTCCATTTTAATGATTTAAGAAGGAAATCCTTTGGTAAAATATTATATGCTCTGTTGGGAATGTAAAATGGTGCAGCTATTTTGGAAAACAGTTTGGCAGTTCCTCATAAATGTTAACTACAGAGTTACCATATGACCCAGCAATTCCACTCACATACCAAAAAGAAATAAAAGCCTGTGTTTGCACACATGAGGAGTGACCGCTACTGGGAAGAGTATTTCTTTGGCATGAGGGTGACTAAAATGCCCTAAGATTAAATTGCAGAGAGTGTTCTACAATTCTGTGAATTTATTAAAAACCACTGAACTGGATACTTTGAATAGATGAACCACATGGTATGTGAATTATATATCCCAATCGAACTGTTTAAAAGCTATTATATGCTTTTTGCCTTCTGAAATAGAATACAGAGGACCAAGTGCAGGCATTATCTATATGGTACTATCCTGTGCTGAAGACTCAGTCCCATTAATGGAACTAAAGAATTTGGGTGAGTTACTTCAGAACTCTATGCCTTAGTTTTCTCATCTGAAAATTAGGTTGTGAGGAATAAATGCACTAATTTAAGTAAAGTGCCCAGCCCAGGACTTGAGTAAAACAAATACTTAATGTTATTATTGTATTCTTCTGATTCAGGGCAACCAATATGATATCAATTAACTTGCTGTTCTTTAACACAATGGCTTTTAACCTTTATTACATGTTAAAAATCACCGGGGATGCATTTTAAAACTCCTGATGTCGAGACCATTCCCCATACCAATTAACGAGAATAGTGGTTTTTAGAACTTCCTAGGTGATTTCAATCTATAATAATTTAGAGAATAAGTGCTACGAGTAACTTAGAGAATGGGTATAGCTAGATTCTCTTCTGAGGGAAACCATTGAGGCAGTGATCTTGGGCCTACAGCTTCCTCCTTTCTATTCTGGGCCAAATGTCTCTGGCAAATGATGAAGGTCCTGATGCTATTCTACCAAACGTTGTTGCATTTCCTATTTACATAGCTTTCACTTTCTTTCTCATTTTAAAAGTTTATTTGGCAGTTGTCTGAATCTTCTGCAGGTAGGTAGTGCCTAACAGAGAACACAAATGAAGACAAAATAAGAAATCTGGGTTCTTTGTGTTATTTGCCAGTGCTGTGGTTTGGGTTCAGGGGCAGAAGACAATACAATCTATTATCTATAGAGGCTGACTGGGCCAGACTCTTTAAGTTGATTACAGTGTTGCTAACATTTGACAAGGAGAGTTTATCACCTGAAAGAGAAGACAGGGCTATATCCTCAACTTTCTTCCACCTCATTTCTGCCACAATCACTTTATAAAACTTGCTGTAGCTGAGATTATCAATAACCTCCATGTCAGAAAATCCAATGAACATTTTTAGTCCTGAATTTAACTGATAGTAACTACTGACCATTTCCTCCTACTTAAAATATTCCTGTTCCCTTGCCTCTGCGACAAAATATTCTAACTGGTGCTTCTCTGTCCTCTCTGTCCCTCTTCTGGTTTCTCCTCCTCTAACAAGCCATTCAAGCATTTTCTCAAGACTCAGTGCTTGGGGTCTCTTGCCTTATTATCTGTCTCAGCTCTGTAAGCATCATCTCAGCCCAACCTTGGCGGACTGCATGGTGACCACTATGGTGCTCTCCTCAATCTGCTGAGATCAGTATGTGTCCAGCTCCTCTCTGTTCTTACAATCCAGCTCATCACATTGGGCCCAGGTGTCTGCCATGATCTTAGTAAGGTCCTGAGATTTGGGAGCATCTACCTCCATGGTCAACCCAGAGCTGGCAATCTGGGCTGGTAGGCCTTTTACTTCCTCTTTATGGTTCTTCCTCATGAAGACCAGCTCCTCCTTGAGAGCCTTGATCTCTGTCTCTAGCTGCAGTCGAGCGACACTGGTGTCATTAATGACCTTATGAAGCCCATGGATGTCACTCTCCACAGACTGGCACATGGCCAGCTCTATCTCATACTTGACTCTAAAGTCATCAGCAGCAAGATGGGCACTGTCTATCTGCAGAACGATGTGGACATTGTCCACAGCATTTGCTAAGATATGAGCCCTCAGGTCCTCGATGGTCTTGAATTAATGGCTCCAGTCTCTGACCTGGGATTCCTTCTTCTCCAGGTGCTTCCGGATTTTGCTCTCCAGCTTCTGGTTCTCAGTTTCCAGGCTTCTCACTCTGTCCAGGTAGGAGGCCAGATGGTCATTTAGGCTTTGTATGGTCTCCTTCTCATTCTGGATGTCTCCCATTCCCACCAGACCCCCAGCCATCCCCACAGCGAGGCCCCTGGACCCCATGCTGCCCTGGAAGCTGGTGGATTGGGACACAGAGATCCTGGCAGAGCTCCCGGAGCCTGCATAGACACTGGCCATGCTGCTAACCAGCTGGGCGCTATAGCTGGGCACCTGGATAGAGCCCAGGGACCAGTACTTGGTGGAGAAGGTATAGCGAGTAGTAAAGCTCATGCTGTCCAGGGAAAAGAGTGAGAGGACAAGACTCAGGCTCTGCCAATGACATATATGTTTATATATTTAAGATACAAATTCTTAGTTGACTACATGGAATAGTTGCCTAGCTTCTGGATGTCTTCCTAGTCACTGTGAATTCTGTTATTCATGAGCATTTCCTTAGGAGACCAATAAGAGCAAATAGAGCAGCCACTCACCTCTGAACCTGTAACTTTATTGGGGTGCTCGTAAACCCTTGGTGCTGTCGAAGAGATTTAATCTGTTTCCAAGTTCGTAATATACTGCGTAGTAGGGAGAGGTCCTTTCCCCTTTCTAAGTCATAGAGCTGTTTTGTATTACTACAACAAAAATGCCAGCAAAAATTTGTCAGTGGATTAGAACTAAAAGCCTACAAAAGTGGCATGGAAGAATATATTGCAATAACTCTTGTGAACTCTCTCCCCACTTTCTTTTTTCATTTTATACACATCTGAACCCCCCATCTTACCATATTTTATGTTAACCATGGCAATTCCATTAGAAATTCATTCCTTTATGACTTAAAGGTTTTTCACTATTCAAAAATGCCCTACTAAAATGCAAATGCTCCTGAGAAAGGAACTATCCTAGCTAGAACTCTACAAGATTTTTTTTTTTTCATTTTTGAGACAGAGTCTTGCTCTGTTGCCCAGGCTGGAGTTCTGTGGTGTGATCCCAGCTCACTGCCACCTCTACCTCACAGGTTCAAGCAATTTCCTGCCTCAGCCTCCCAAGTAGCTGGGACTACAGGAATGCACCACTGTGTCTGGCTAATTTTTATATTTTTAGTAGCAATGGGTTTTACCATGTTGGCCAGGCTGGTCCCAAACTTCTGACCTCAAGTGATCTGCCTGCTTCGGCCTCCTAAAGTGCTGGGATTACAAGCATGAGCCACCGAGCCCTGCCAGAACTCCAAAAGATTCTGAAGTACCAAAAAGAGAAGAGCAATAGTGGAAGAAAGCAGTAATAAAAGAAAGGGAGTGGAAAGCCCATATGTTTTGATAATTGCGCTTGCTATCTATTCAGCATTTAGTTAATTTCTGGTTGGCTCTTCACTATTTATAAAAAAGAAGATGCAAACCAGCTGGTGCATGTCCCTTCCAACACTTTGGCGCTCCCACAACTTTTATTTTGCCACCTAAGTTCTATTTGGATGGTTCCAAAGCCACTAGTGAGGGATTGGCTTAGATTAAGGATGGCAAAATCTCAAAAGGTTTTGATGGGAAAGGATGGTGGTAGCCCAACACCATAGAGTTTGAGTCACTCTAAGAAAGGGTGGGGAGGGATTCTTATTTAGTTAAAGTGCATGAAGACAGAAAATATGTGTTTCAAGGCCGAGCATGGTGGCGCATGCCTATAATCTCCGCATTTTAGAGGCCAAGGTCAGGTGGATCACTTGAGCCCAGAAGTTCAAAACCAGCCTGGGTAACATGGCAAAAACCTGTCAATACAAAAATTAGCTGGGCATGGTGGTGCACACTTCCAGTCCCAGCTAACTCAGAAGACTGAGGTAGGAGGACCACTTGAGCCCAGAAAGTTGAGACTGCAGTGAGCCGTGATTGTGCCACTGCACTCCAGGCTGGGTGACAGAGGGAGACCCTGTCTCAAAAAAGGAAAAAAAAAAAGAAAAGAAAATACATATTTCAAAACTCAGTTTATATCACTTCCTCAGTACAGCCTTGTTTGAATACCCCCATAACAAAATTAAATTTTCTTATAGCCCTTCATGCTTTTCTTCTTAAATATCCATCACATTTTTAATAAGTTTTTCAATGTCTGTTTCCCCATGCGATTTCAAGTTTCAGGGTACTGTGGGATGACAGGTGTATATTGTATATGTTACCAACATTTTTTGTAAGCCTAAATTACCTCCCAATCCACTCATGTAGCTGAAGTGTGAAACAAGAATACTTAAAGGTGTGGTCATTTTGAGTAAGTGCTATTGGAAATGTGATGCAGTAGAAAGAAAAGCAAAATACTTGGGAGTCAAACAAACCCAGTGTTAACTGTGGTTCTCCCACTTACTTAAGAAAACTGCTTAATTGCTCTGGGTCTTCATATGCTCAATTTTTCTTCAACCTCCTGACACCTATTTGAATGAAACATCTCTAAACTGAAAGCAATGGATCAAATTATTAATCAGGAAATAATAAAATAAATACACTATTCTCCATGTATTTCCAGATTTTTCTGGAAATTGTATGATGTATTTATTACACTTTTTTCAGGTTAACAATTAGAACATTGCTTGAAGTTTAGAGGTACTTTGCCTGATAGGTTGGTAAGCATATTTTTAGAATATTTAAGTAACATACAGTTTTTAAAAAGTTTCTTCTATGTTTCATAACTTTGCATACACATTGTATTAGTATGTTAAATTACACTAATTAATTTCTAATGTTAAACCATCCTTGTATTCCTGGAATAATCCCAATTTGGTTATAATGTATTATTTAATAAAATTCTGTTTAGCATGTTAGTTTCTATGTTCATGGATGAAATTCAGTTGCAATATTTTTATATGGTTGCCAGGTTTTAATTTCAAGGATATGATAACCTCATTAAATGAGCTGAAAATGTAGCCTCTTTTTCTTTTATTGGAAAGAGTTTGTGAAGAATAGTAGTTATCTTTAAATAAGAGGTTGTGAAACATTTTTTGTGCATCAGAATCACCTGGAGGGCTTGCTAAACACAGATTGCCAGGCTCTACCTGTAGAGTTTCTAATTCAGTGGTCTCTGGCAGACCTGATAATTTGCATTTCTAACAAATTCTCAGCTGATGATGCTGGTCTGGGGACCATACTTTGAGACCCACTGCTTTAAATTTTCTAGAAAGTATTCTAGTCATTTGAGCCTGGAGGGTTTTTTTGCAGAAAGGTTTCAGATTAATGGTTTGATTTCTTTAACAATTATTGAATTACTTAAGGTTTGTTTTTTCTTCTTTGTCTTTCACTTCTTGAATATGTTCTGGTTAGTTGTATTTTGTGTAGATTTGTCTTCTCCATAGAAATATTTACATTTGTTAGCATAAAGTTATTTAAAATATACAGCATCTATAGTAATGTTCCTTTTCTTTCCTGCCATTGTATATTTGTGCTGTTTCACTTTTCCCCCTTGATCAGCTTTCCCAGAGTTTATCAATTGTTATTCAACATTTGAGTGTGCTGATTTTCTCTATTATAGTTTTATTATTAATTTCTGTCTCTTCGATGCAAATCAAAACCACATTGAGATACCATCTCACGCCAGTTAGAATGGCGATCATTAAAAAATCTAGAGACAACAGATGCTGGAGAGGATGTGGAGAAAAAGGAACACTTTTACACTGTTGGTGGGAGTGTAAATTAGTTCAGCCATTGTGGAAGACAGTGTGGCGATTCCTCAAGGCCTTAGAAATAGAAATTCCATTTGACCCAGCAATCCCATTACTGGGTATATGTCCAAAAGACTATAAATCGTTCTACTATAAGGACACATGTACACGAATGTTCATTGCAGCACTGTTTACAATAGCAAAGACCTGGAATCAACCCAAATGCCCATTGATAATAGACTGGATTGGAAAAATGTGGCACATATACACCATGGAATATTATGCAGCAATCAGAAATGATGAGTTCGTGTCGTTTGTAGGGACATGGATGAATCTGGAGAACATCATCCTCAGCAAACTGACACAAGAACAGAAAATGAAACACCGCATATTCTCACTCATAGGTGGGTGATGAAAAATGAGAACACATGGACACAGAAAGGGGAGTACTAAACACTGGGGTCTATTGGGGGGAAAAGGGGAGGGCCAGTGGGAGGGGGAGGAGGGGAGGGATAGCCTGGGGAGAAATGCCAAATGTGGGTGAAGGGGAGAAGAAAAGCAAAGCACACTGCCATGTGTGTACCTACGCAACTGTCTCGCATGCTCTGCTCATGTACCCCAAAACCCATAATCAAATAAAAAATTAAAAAAAAAAAAAATTTCTGTCTCTTCATTATTTCATTCCTCTTATCCTTTATCCTATTTTCCTTCTCTCTATCTTTTCCTTTTGAATTTCCTCCAGTGGGTCTGCTGGTCCACTTAATGGTGTTCCACAGGTCTCTTAGGCTCTGTTTGCATTTCTTCAATATTTTTTCTTTCTGTGGCTCAGTCTCAATGATTTACATTGTCCTATATTCAAGATCACTAATTCTTCCTTCTGCTTGCAGTAATCTGCCTTTGAATCTCTCTAGTGACTTTTTCATTTCAGTTATACTTTTCAGCTTTATTCTTTTTTGCAATTTTCTATCTCTTCATTGTTACTTCCATTTTGCTTATGTGTTATTTATTTATTTAGAGACAGAGTCTCACTCTGTTGCCCAGGCTGGAGTGCAGAAGCACAATCTCGGCTCACTGCAGTCTCTGCCTCCCAGGTTCAAACAATTCTCCCACCTCAGCCTCCTGAGTAGCTGAGACTACAGGTGCACACCAGAACATCTGGCTAATTTTTGTATTTTTAGTACAGACAGGGTTTCACCACGTTAGCCAGGCTAGTCTTGAACTCCTGGCCTCAAACAATCTGCCCACCTCAGCCTCTCAGTGCTGAGATTACAGGCTTGGAGCCACCACACCTGGCCTATTTTGTGTATGCATGGTTTAATGTATGGTTTTCTTGACTTTCTTGACATCTTTCTTTAGTTCTTTGAGCATCTTTAAGACAGTTGTTTTAAAGTCTTTATCTAGTAGGTCTTTATCTAGTAAGGTTTTTCTGGCACAGTTTCTGTTGACTTATTCTTTTCCTTGGAGTTGTCCATACTTTCCTGTTTCTTTGTATGACTTTGTGGTTTTTTTTGTTGTTGTTGAAAACTGGATATTTGAATCTAATAATGTGGTAACTCTAGAAATCACTTTGTCCTCCTTTCCCAGGACTTGCTGTATTTTTGTTATTTCTATTTATTTATTTATTTATTATTTTTGAGACAAAGTCTCACTCTGCCACCAGGCTGGAGTGCAGTGGCACAATCTAGGCTCTCTGCAACCTCCACCTCTCAGTTCAAGTGATTCTTCCACCTCAGCCTCTGGAATAGCTGGGACTACAAGCACGCACCACCACATCCAGCTAATTTTTTTTTGTATTTTCAGTAAAGACAGGGTTTCACCATATTGGCCAGAATGGTCTTGATCTCTTGACCTCATGATCTGCCCACCTTGGCCTCCCAAAGTGCTGGGATTGCAGGTGTGAGCCACCACACCCAGCTTGTTATTGTTATTTTTTAGAAAAATCATTGTCATCTGTCTCTGCGCCCGGGGTCAGTCTGAGGTATAAACATAGGGTCCTCTCAGTTCTTTTCTGAGTCTTTGCCTTTCCCTAGGCATGTGTGGTCACTTTCTAATTTTCCCTGAATATGCAGTTGCCTTTAAATGTCCTAGTCTTGGCCGGGCGCATTGGCTCACGACTGTAATCCCAGCACTTTGGGAGGCCGAGGCGGGTGGATCACGAGGTCAAGAGATTGAGACCATCCTGGTCAACATGGTGAAACCCCGTCTCTGCTAAAAATACAAAAAATTAGCTGGGCATGGTGGGGCATGCCTGTAATCCCAGCTACTCAGGAGGCTGAGGCAGGAGAATTGCCTGAACCCAGGAGGCGGAGGTTGTGGTGAGCCGAGATCACGCCATTGCACTCCAGCCTGAGTAACAAGAGTGAAACTCTGTCTCAAAAAAAAAAATTGTCCTAGTTTTTAATATCTGACTCCCAAAAGAGGAAAAAGGAAAAATGAAGGGAGGAGAAGGGGCACCAGACTTTTCAATGCCCTGGAAGTCACTTTACCTAAGATAGAGGGTCTTGCAACAATGGGGATAAGTGCAACAATAATGATTCCCCGCTCACGGCACCTCTGTGATTAGAAGTAAGCAGTGATCAGAGCACAGTCCCCATTATTTGTAGCAAAAGGTCCTTTTTTGCTTACTTTGGCTCCTGAAAACTGTGTGTGGGTTACTCCAGTAACATGCACAGCCGCCTGCCATGGGGCTGAAGGGCAGGGGTGGGGGAATAGCTGATACTGTGCTAAAAGCTGACATTGACCAAAATTAATTCCAATTTACCACCCAAGCCTTCCTCTGGATGTGGCAAGCCTTCCATAGACTCCAGAGTTCCAAAATAGAGGCTTTTCATATCCATAAGTTCTGCATCTTCAGATTAACCAATCTCAGATTTAAAACAGTTTTTAAAAAGCCAATAAAAATAACATGAGTAAAAGATAATGTGAATAAACAAATACAGTAGAACAACTATGTAATAGCATTTACACTGTGGTGGGTATTACAAGTAATCTAGAAATGATTTAAAGTATATGGGAGGATATGCATAGGTTATATGCAAATACTATGCCATTTTATACAAGAGATTTGAACATTCATGAATTTTGGTGTCTGTACGAGATCCTGAAACCAATCCCTTGCAGATACTGAGGGACAACTGTAGTTACATTAGATGGATTCTCTGCCAGTACAACTGTTGTCTAGGTAGGGAGATGAATTCATGGTGCTTCTTCCTCTTCCATCTTCGTAGAAACTACTTCCACTGAATGTTTAAATGTTCATTTTATGTTTTTCATTTCTATAAATTCTCTTTGGTTCTTCTTATATAAAAATAGCTCAAGAAGTACTCAGTAATTTACTATATTTTGTTTGTAGATCACATTTTCAAGCTTGTCTTTTATTTTAAAATCATATTAAACAAAGTTATGTTATTTTCTGTATTTGATAATTCTATTATCTTAAGCTTTTGCCTGTATGAGTCTTCTATTATTTCTACTGGCTCTTATTCATGCTGTCTGTGTGTGTGTGATAGAAGAGGTTGTAAACTATAAGCTCATATTCCTTAGAATGTTATATCTTTGAATAATCTCCTATCTAGGATTAAAATTGTGCTCTTCCAGAAAAAAATATATATTTTATTTGCCAGTTGTTTGGTGCCACTGCCAATCTGGGACTATTTTAAGTTAAGTTCTAAATCTGAGAGTTTAGGCTAAATAAATAATATCAATTCACATCAGAAATCTGAATAAAGGTGGTCTTCTAATTATAAATACCTTCCAGTGAATTTTCCTGCTTTTGGAGATTCTGTGACACATGAATATGTTTTGTCTTGAAATTACCTTTCCAGTTATTTCATACTTCATAACTTTGCTTTGCAGTCTATAAGCCAAAGGATCCCAACTTGTAGACCATATTTTTTACAGGGGTCCTTAAATCTACTGCTTATGAAATATTGCCTTTAGATTGAATTAATAATATATCTTGCACACATGTAAAATGTGCACTAATTCTTAAATATATATTAATACTTCAGATCAATGTAATCCAAGTCAATTTCAAAGTACTCATGAACTCATAGTTGTTCAACGTTTTAAAAAAAATCAGTGGATGTTAAAACTACAACTACTTTCACGTGGCACCCCTGTGAAATATTTTTACACAAACATGGGTCTTAAAAAAGATTGAAACCATTTTTGTAATCTCCTAAAAAGTAGGAATTGTGTACTTTTCTTTATCTTCCATAGAAAGTGCAGTATTTTGTCTAAAGAAGTTACTTAATGAATGCTTGACGAACATGAATGGCTCAAAACCTACCTTATTTGCCAATTATAATCTTGTAAAGATTTCCTGGTCAGCTGGTTTATTTCTGAATTTTCATTTGATAATTTGGTAGCATCCGTCAGTGCTTTCAGCTATAACAAAGAAAAGAGCTCTTTGGTATATTTTATCTACCTGTTACCATTACTCCAACTCACCTGTAGGTTAAGGTATGTGCAGCAGCAAAGCAAATGTATAACTTTGTGTGCATTCTTGGCTTATCTTCCACAATATATTTTATATAAGCACCTTGGAAAATAACTGAGAAGGGCCTCAATATGTATTTAGGCAATAAACATCAATTTAGTATCTAATAACATCTAGTATTTTGAACATTACTAGACTATCAATTAATCAATTGATATAAAGAAATGCCATGAGATCAAGAACGCATGTTGAGCACAGGTATCAATCTTATCTTCCACCTAAAATCCCATAGTTACATAAAAAATATATGTCTCTTTATCCATATCCATTGCCATAATCACATCCATATCTGTATACATATATTGATAACGATCTTTATCTATGCCTTCCATGAAAGAATAAGTGCATAACATAGGAAAACAAGAAAAATAAAATCAAAAGAACAAGATACGCTGAAGAAGGTACAAAACAGTAACATCCATAGAACAACACAACTGAAGGAAACCGGGCCCTAAAACACATAAAGGAGAAGGCTGTCACAGTTGGGGGTAATTTGTGGGAATTTCAAGCCTAGAGTCAATTGATATAAACTTTTACTGGAAGACATATGAGAAGATCTAAACAAACAGGAAAACAAACTATATTCCTGGAAGAGGAAACTCAATTTTTATGAGGATAGAATTTCTTTCAAAATTAATGTAATACCACAACACTCTCACAATAAAGATGGTAACCACGTTCTAAAAATAGAAGGTGACAAGCTAATTCTAAGGCTCATATGGAAGATAAAATCTATGGGGTATACAAAAACATTTTAGAAAAGAACAACAATGAGGAGGCACTTGTCCTATGATATATAATTTAATAATTAATTATGTATGATATATAATTTAATAATTAAATATGGTAATGAAACAGGACAGAACTAGACCAATATATCATATAAGGAACAGGCAGTCCTCAAATAAACCTATAGATTAATAAATATGTATGGCTGGCATAGGATAAAGTTAGTATTTTAAGGCAATAGAGAAATAAATGATGGTATTTGGATATTAGGCTAACCTTTTGGGAGAAGGAGTGGAGTTAGAGCCCAGTCTCACCTGAGACACAGAGATAAACTCTAGATAGAATAGAAGGCTAGAAGTTACATACACACATGCCATTGACACACACACATATATACACACATCCATATGTATACATACACACAAATACATATATAATATATACCACAAGGATATATAAAAGGAAGTCTTTATAATTTTGGTCTTTCAGACACTATTCATTGCCCATAAAGGATCATTTTTCTTCATTGGCAGAACACCAATTTTGTTCAATTGCTCAATCATTTTCCATGTGTTTTTGAGGTAAACTGATTAGCATAGCTATTTGCAGCAATTTTATTCTTGCCAATAAATAGTTTAGGCATGATCATGTGAATTAATTCTAGTCAATGAGATATTAGAGAAAATCTGCTGCAGGGCAGGAGAGATTGGAGAAGGCTCTCAATGTGAGACACTATGCTGCATATTGTGTGTCTGGCCAGCATGCCTTGAGCTGGAGCAGCCACTTGGTTAGCTTTCATGAGTGGAGCTAACCCCAAGTCGACTTGCTGAAGATGAAGAGAAGGACAGAAAAGGCTTGTTGATAATACTGTCAAGACACCAAATTAACCAAACCTAGAGCTGCCCTAACTTGGACAATAGGAGGTAATAATGCCTTTTCCTTATTGTCTGAAGTAACTTAGATGAAGTTTTCTGTGAATTATAACCAAAATATGCTAATTGATAAACTTGAGGTAGAGAAGGTTTTAGGAAGCAACAAAAAAATCTAAACTTCACATGGGAAAAGATTAACAGATTTGAACTTATAAAAATGTAAAATTCTTGCCAAGGTCAGCGGCTCACACCTGTAATCCCAACAATGCAGGAAGCTGAGGTAGGAGGATGGCCTAGATATCAAGGCCATCCTGGCAACACAGCAGGACCTTGTATCTAAAAAAATCTTTTTAAATGATCTGGGAGTTGGTGGCATGTACCTGTGTGTAGTCCCAGCTACTTGGGAGGCTGAGTGAGAGCATCACTTGAGCCCAGGACTTAAAGGGTGCAGTGATTTATAACTACAACACTACACTCCAGTCTGAGTAACAGAGTGAGACCTTTCCCAAAAAAGAAATTTTTTTAATTTAAAATGTTTGCCAAAATATAAAATAAATAAAGTTCAAAAGCAAGTAACAGAATAGGACAAAAATATACAAAACATATTTAAAAGAAATACTACTTTTATGGACTTACATCTAGAATATATATGTATATACTTTCTTTTTTAACTCATGAATTAATTAAAGATAAAGCTAGAGAAAAATAATGAATATTGGTGAAGGCTCTGGGAAGTCAGCTCTGTCCTGCCTTGCCAGTGGAAATTCAAATTGGAAAAACATTTGGGAAAGGCATTTTATCACTTTATTATAAAATTTAAACTGCATATACCCTTATCTTTGACCAGGCAACTTCACTTCTACGGATCTATCCCATAGAAGTTTTCATATGTGTGCTCAAATATATAGGTACAAGGATATTCACTGCTTCGTTATTAATCATAAAGAAATGACCTAAGTGTCATTGGATGGGAGTGATTAAATATATTACAATAAACCTATATTATGGATATATATACACACACATACACATATAGTGATAAATAAAAAGTTCCAAGGTAGAGTATTAATTTTAGAAAACCAGCTGGGCACAGTGGTGCACACCTATAGTCTTCACCTACTTGGGAGGCTGAGGTGGGAGGATAGCTTGAGCCCAGGAATTTGAGTCCAGCCTGGGCAATATAACAAGATGCTGTCTCTAAAACAAAAAACCAAGTTGCCAAATAATACATATGGTAAGATCCAATTTATGTTAAAAACAATCATAGCATACATACATACATATAGAAATACAGGGAAAAGAGAACCATGAGGTGAAGAATGAAGTAGGGCTTTCACATCTTGACACTTCAACAATTAATCTTTTCCAGTGATAATGTATTCCTGTATTACTGTATACTTTTGTTAAAGCTAGAGGGAAAAAGAGCAGAAGTCAGCAGAGCTGAGCATCCTTTCTCCTCACATACTATCTGCAACATCCCTCTTTGTTCTTTAAGTGGAATTCATATTCATATAAAGGAGCATATTTCAGTTTAAGAACTCCTTGGTGCCAATGAGTCTTCCACTATGAATTGGTCTGAAAACACTAGGAATAGGCAAAGCCATACATTTCACACCCAAGGACTAAGTTACCCATGTTTAAGAATTAATCTTTTGGTGGGAGACCAATGGACATGCTCTGCACACCTGGCCTTTTCTTCCCTTCCCCACTGCTCCTCTCCACCTCAGAAGAGATTATGCATACTTCTACCACAGTTATCTTTTTACAATTTACTGGGATATCAGAGAAAACGTTTATATTCACATAAGATAATAAATTTTTAAAAAGTAAAAATCTGCTAACAAATTACCTTTGGCTCCTAATACAATAATAATACTAAAACATGTTGCAAATAATAATCCCAAAAGTTTCATTTTATGCAGAGAGCCATGCATATATATGAAGCATAAACCTAGAGTCTATATATACTTTAATAGATGGTACTCTAATAAACTAAAATTGATATTGCTAGATCAGACTTTAAAGATTCTATAATATTGTTGGAAAAAAATCTGTAAAGTAGTAATCTGTAAATCAAATCATTTTTTAAATGACCTGAATCTTAATCTGAGTTGTTTCCTTCATTCGTTTAAAAAATGGCTGTATTTCACTAAAAGAATATTCAACATTTACTTTAGGAAATATTCTGATATTGCTAATATGGGTGTTCATCTATTAAGTTCTCCTACACAATTGCTACATCAAATCAAATAGATTAACTCCTGGCTGGGCATGGTGGCTCACACCTGTAATCCCAACATTTAAGAAGGCTGAGGCAGGCAAATCGCTTGAGTCCAGGAGTTCAAGAGCAACCTGGGCAACATGGCAAAAGCCTGTCTCTATGAAAAAACAAAACAAAACATTAGCTGGGTGTGGTGGTGCACACTTGTAGTTCTAGCTACTCGGGAGGCTGAAGTGAGAGACCAGTGTGAGCCTGGGAGGTTGAGGCTGCAGTGAGCTGTCACTGAGTCACTGCATTGTAGCCTGAGTAAGACTTTGTCTCAAAAAACTTAAAAAAATGGATTAAGTCCTGTGGGTTTTAAACATATATTTTAAAAAGCAGATATTGGCCAGGATGGTGGCTCATGCATGTAATCCCAGCACTTTGGGAGACCGAAGCAGGCAGATCACCTAAGATCAGGAGTTCGAGATCACCCTGGCCAACATGACGAAACCCCATCTCTACTAAAAATAGAAAAATTAGCCACATGTGGAGGTGGGCACCTGTAGTCCCAACTACTAGGGAGACTGAGGCAGGAGAATTGCTTGAACTTGGGAGGCAGAGGTTGCAGTGAGCCAAGATCATGCCACTGTACTCCATCCTGGGCGACAGAGCAAGACTCCATCTCAAAAAAAAAAAAAAAGCAGATATTTATGAAGGTGTAGTTCATGTCCAGTTTATTGAGATGGCTTTGTGACTCCAACAGTATTGAATGTTTCATTAAATACCTTAGTGTGTATTTTATTTCAAATGTATTCATTAGTTGAATGAGACATACTATCAAAATACCTTTCTCAAGAGAACACTAGTTAACAAAATGCTCATATATCAGAAACCCAGCAGAGAGTTTAAATGAACCACAAGTCTGTAAAAGTAATCAGTGGGTACTCCTATTTCTCTTCGGACTTCATATACCCCTCCATATACCCATATACCCTTCTAATGATATCATGATGTCATTAGATTACTATTTGGATCAATCATCTTCAGACCAAGACTCTTCACATTTGTAATGAGAATCAAGATTTCTAATATTTTAATTAAAATACTTCATTGCAAGACTTAAAACAGGTACATGGCTCTTTTCAGTAATAATCATTTCAAATACTCTTCTTGAGTTATAGGACCAAGAATACCATTGATTAGTAAACCATTTGTGGTAAATATCCCATAGAATATATTTAAAGCTTTCTCCCCAGCCAGTCAACTCCTACAGTTTCTTTTCACAGAAACTGAAATTGAACCATTGTTCTACTTAGTTAAATATTTAGAAAATGTTCTGATAATTTGCTCTGCACTAGGAATTTTTTCCCTTTCAATACTAAATGTTTAACTCTGTAGTGAAAGTCATTCTCACCTTCTCATAAAGTAGCTGAGAAACATTCTGTTGCTGCCTGTCCTGAAAACATTCATAAAGATGGAGCAGCCTAGCACATAATACCTGTTCTTGATTGAAGAGATGATGATGGCTGAATTGCAAACCCACAATATTGAGGTCTAATTGGTATATTTCCCTTGGGCCTTCTATTTTGTTCATAAATGAGCTTCCCAGGTCACATTTTACTGCCTTTTAAAGAAAAATAAGTGCACGATGTTAATTTGATTCAGTATCTTTTGAAATTATAAGTAACTTTTCCTTATAAAAGTAACATTTCATTGTAGGAAAATCGATATAGAAAAAAATAATAATTTGATTCTTTTTCTTTAAATTGATTATAGCCCTTAATTTCATCAAATATATTTATATTACAGCATTTTAATCATTGTGCTATTAACTATTGTCGTCTATCTCACTACTGTGTGCTGGTGGAGTGGAAGTTGGACTTTGAATTTATAAAACCAAAAAAATTTCCTATAGAAACACTAAGACAAATGGTGTTTAGAACCTGTGGGCCAGAGTCAAATAATAATTGCTTATTAAAACATTGTTTAGGTTGGGCACGGTGGCTCACACCTGTAATCCCAGCACTTTGGGAGGCCGAGGCAGGTGGATCACAGGGTCAGGATTTCGAGATCAGCCTGATCAATATGGTGGAACCCCATCTCTACTAAAAATACAAAAATTAGCTGGGCATGGTGGTGGGTGCCTGTAGTCCTAGCTACTGGGAAGGCTGAGGCAGGAGAATCACTCGAACCAGGGAGGCAGAAGTTGCAGTGAGCCAAGATAGTGCCACTGCACTCTAGCCTGGGTGATAGAGTGAGACTCCATCTCAAAACAAAAAACAAACAAACAAATATTGTTTATAAATGAATACATTGGTGAACCTCTGGAAAATTTTCTTGAGGAGGCTGGGCCCTCTAAGAAATTTCTATGTTGTAAGAAGAGCACCTGTTTTTGTACATGAGATTGTCTCCATTTGGATACCCAATTGCCCTTAAATTAGCTGAAGTCTGTAGGCCTTAGATCATAAGGAAGATGATTCTTTTGTTTTAGTCCACTTTTTTGTTTCAGATGGAGTCTTGCTTTGTCACCAGACTGCAGTGGTGCGATCTCGGCTCACTGCAACTTCTGCCTCCCTGGTACAAGCAATTCTCCTGCCTCAGCTTCCCAAGTAGCCAGGTTTACAGACGTGTGACATCACACCCAGCTAATTTTTGTATTTTTAGTAACAAGAGAGTTTTGAAATGTTGGCCAGGATGATCTCAATCTCCTGACCTTGTGATCCACCCACCTCGGCCTCTCAAAGTGCTGGGATTACAGGCGTGAGCCACTGCATCCGGCCAACTATTTTTTTTTTAAGTAAAAGCAAATTTATTAAGAAAGGGAAGGAATAGGCTCACATTTGTAACCGTAGAACTTTAGGAGGCCAAAGCGGGTGGATCACCTGAGGTAAGGAATTCAAGACCAGCCTGGCCAATATGACAAAACCCCGTTTACATTAAAAATACAAAAATTAGCCAGGCATGGTGGTGGGCACCTGTAATCCCAGCTACTCAGGAGGCTGAGGAAGGAAAATTGCTAGAACCCAGGAGGTGGAGTTTGCAGTGAGGCAAGATGGCACCATTGCACTCCAGCGTGGGCGACAGAGCCAGCCTCTGTCTCAACAACAACAAAAAAAAAAAAACAAACTTTTTTTTAGTCCACTATTTTGAATTTATGCACGTTTGAATACACATGTGCTCAGTATCACTGGCTTTTAGTGAAGCAATTTGTGAGGGTTGGTAAGTTACTTAGAATATGCAGCTTGATTCATCAATGCCTACCCACTCCAGATAAAAGCCATGAATGCATTAACCCAAATAGGAGCACACTGAGCCCACTCTGGATCATTCTGGTGTAATACGATACACTCTCCAGTCTGTGCCATTGCTGTTACACCTGCTGTTACACTAAAGAAGAAAAAAATGTTTTCTCCCCTCTAACCTGGTGTGGCAGACCCAATGTTCCTCTAGGACTGAAAGTCATCTGTACAGTGCCTACATCTCTGCCTCCCTATTTTTTCCTGAGTTAGGAACCTTTCCTTTTTCCTCACTGGGTTTCAGGGAGGCAGAGAAACAGCCATAAAGCTTGTTTATGCCTGGTAAGTCTTTGTTCTCTATGGAAGAGCCAACCCATAAAAAGGGAAACCTACTCTTGATTTCACCTGAGAGATTTAGTCAATTGGTATAGTAAGTTGGTAAATCAGTCATTAAACAGGAAAGAAAACACCAAGGAAAAAATCATTTTGAGTTTAAAACAACAAAATTATAAAGAAACTTTTGAAAATTAAAGTTCCTAAGCTAGAGAAGCCTGTCTTGTTAAGCAGATCCAGCACTGGCTGAATAACTGTTGCTCAGTTGCTTTGGATTTCTACTGGAGTGATACAAGCCTCTGCCCTTGGTCCTATCCTCTTCAGCACCTACTGAATACAGTGCTAAGAAGCTAGAGGATGGTAAATGAGGTGGTGGAATATCTAACAACAACCAAAGGAGGCAATTTAGACTGGAAAGCAAAAACTAAAGGTGGAAGCTACTATAGGCTTCAAATATTTGAGGCGCTGTCACCTAGGTGAAGTACTTTATGTGTTCCCTATGGCCAAACAAAGTCAAATAAGTAGAAGTGATCCAGAGATAGACTTTAAAAACAGAAAACAATCAACAATTAGAACAGTCCACTGGGTGCAGTAGCTCACCCAGCGGACAGTTCTAATCCTAATCCCAGCACTTAGGGAGGCCAAGGTTGGCAGATCACCTGAGGTAAGGAGTTTGAGACCAGCCTGACCAACATGGCAAAACCCCATCTCTATTTAAAATACAAAAATTAGCCAGGAGTGGCGGTGCACACCTGTAATCCCAGCTACTTGGGAGGTTGAGGCAGGAAAATCACTTGAACTTAGTAGGCAGAAGTTGTAGTGAGCCAAGACCGCACCACTGCACTCTGGCCTGGGCAAAAAGAGAAAAACTCCATTTCAAAAAAAAAACAATAGTCCAACATTAGAATGAATTCTCTTGGGAAGTAGCAAACTCCCTGACATACAGGTTATAAGCAGCACCCCACCAAGTGAGTTAAATAGGCTTCTAGAACTAGGTAAGTGTGTTATACCAAAAGCATAAAGATTTGGGAAACAATGAATGAAAGGTTACATAAAAGCACAAAAACATCCAAGCTGGTTGACATATATAAAATCTATGTAAATATAAAAAAAGAGTGCTAGAAATGGGAGCAGAGGGAAGGCCATAGTCAAATGGTCAGACGAAACTTATCGGCAAATAGGGTACCTGGGATAGTAGAGACACAACAAGCTGTTAAAGCACCTGGCAGAGGCAGCAGTGAAGACAGGACTGATACACATGCAACGATTATATCTACTTTGGTTGGTATAAGAATAAATACTTATATTTATTCTGATGAGAGACCGCAAATCAGCTTTTCCTTCAAGACTGGCTGGGCAACACAAAAAATGTAAAAAGGATAGAAGAGAAAGGCAGGTAGAGGCATTTGTCTGACACAAAATCTAGAACATCATCTGTTAAAGATGCTACTGTCTTAGTCAATTTGTGCTGCTATAACAGAGTACCTGAGACTAGGTAAATTATAAAGAACAGAAATTTATTTCTCAGTTCTGGAGGCTGGGAAGTCCAAGATCAAGACACCCACATTTCATGTCTAGTGTGGACCTTTTTGTGTCCACTGGAAGGGAGGAATGCTGTGTCCTCTCATGGAAGATGGTGGAAGAGCAAAAGCTTCTTTATAAGGGCACCTAATCCCATTGACAATGGAGGAGGAGCCATAATGGCCTAGTCACCACTTGTAGGCTCTACCCCTTAATGCTATCACAGATAGATTTAACTAGAGATAAAATATGGCAGAAAATTATGTAAGTGAATGGTAAGACAGGTCAATAGAATATATACAAACTAAAACTCAGAGAGAAAAAAGACTTTAAAAAAGCAAAAGTAGAAGACAAATTAGAGAAAATAGAAAATCTGAATGGGCCTCTTTTTTGTGGTAAAAAATGCAAAGCATTAGATCTACCGTCAACGAATGTTTAAGTTTGCAATACAGCACTATTAACTATAAGAATAATGTTGTACCATAGATCTCCAGAACTTTTTCATCTTGCATGACTGAAACTCTATACCTTTTGAACAGCAACTCCCTATTTCCCTCTCCCCCAAGTGCCTGGTAACCACCATTCTACCTTCTGCTTCCATGAGGCTGACTACTTTGGATACCTCATATAAGTGGAATCACACACAATTTGTTCTTCTGTGATTGACTTATTTCCTTTAGTATAACATCTTCAAGCTTCATCCATGTTTCAGCATATGACAAGATTTGTTATTTATGGCTAAATAATATTCCACTTCATGTACATATACCATGTTTTCTTTATTCAACTGTCAATGAACAGCTAGGCTGTTTCCACCTCTTGGCCATTGTGAAAAATGTTGCAGTAAACATGGAAATGCAAATATCTCTTGAAAATCTTGAATTCAATTTTTCTAGATAAATACCCAGAAGTGAGATTGCTAGATCATATTACAGTTCTATTTTAAATTTGCTGAGGGACTCCATACCACTTTCCATAGTGGTCACACCATTTTACACTCCCACCAACAGTATACAAGGGTTCCAGTTTCTCCATATTGTTGCCAACACTTGTTATTTTTTGGGATTTTAAAAAATAATGACCATTCTAACAGGTATGAGGTGATATATCATTGTGGTTTTGATTTGCATTTCCCTGACAATTAGTGATGTTAGGCATATTTTATATGTCTGTTGGCCATTTGTATGTGTTTTGGGCCTTTTTTGGGGGGTAGAAATGTCTATTCAAGTCCTCTTCCCATTTTTTAAATTGGGATGTATTCTTGTTACTGAGTTGTCGAAGTTCCTTATACATTTCGGATTTCAACCTCTTATGAGATGTATGGTTTGCAAATATTTTCTCCCATCACATAGATTGCCTTCTTTCCCTGGTGCTTGTTTCTTTTGCTGCAACAGATGCATTTTAGTTTGTTGTAGTCTCAGTTCTCTATTTTTGTGTTGTTGCCTATGCTTTTGGTGTCATATCCCGGAAACCATTGCCAAGAACAATGTTATAAAGCCTTTCTGGGGGGACGGATCCAAGATGGCTGATTAGG